AATATCAACATGTTTTCAAACTTAGCCCTTTCATACTGAGTATGTATATATTAGTCAGAGGGACCAACAGTAATTAAACATCAATTGACAAGAGTAATATTTGTGCTCAGGATCTATTAATATTCTATAGTCCAGGCCCATTTGATTGTATTGCTTTTTGCAGAATAACTATTAACTCGCCACAGAGTTGTGCCCTGTGTACAGACCTCAATGGTAGGATGAGAACAAGCGTGGTAATGTGTGATTCATGATTAACTTTTATATTACTACCCATTCTTAATGTGATGTGACAATTAACTTTAAATTATTATATCTATTATAATATCGTCAACAGCAAGAATATTATTACACCACCTTTTTCTTCTTCTGTTGGTCCTTTAGACTTCAGATCCCTATATTTTTTTGACTGCTTTTCTGACCTTTTCTTATAAAAGGACCCCATAAAATTATTTAATAAAATTATTAGTTTGTTCTCTACCTTAATCTGAATAAGTCTTAATACTTTAAGTCTTTGTGATTTTGTATTTATTATAATTGCTTGTAATTTCCTTCTGTAAAATCAGCATTGTAGCTATTCCATTACGTATTTAATTATACTCCTTCGAATACCACTCTTATCTGATTTCGTCGTATAAATTACCCTATTATATAAATATATTTTAGTCTGGTGCTCACTTTTTAAGAGCTTTTATCTTAAACCTCTATTTTTATTTTCTTCTATTACTTTTACTGAAACTTGCCAGTAACAGTGTTGGTAATTATTTAAACAAAATTGTCAGAGACGACGTTATTGCTTTTGCAAATAACTTTGTCGATTTTACAAACAAGTCTTTTTAAACCTTTTAACAACCTTGTTCGTGCTTCAAACCAGTGTTCTAAGGTATTTGGCATGAAATTTAAAATAAAGAGTAAAATGAAGAATAACAGATGTGTTTATAGTGAGCACCAGACTGTGAAAGTAGTCAACGTATTTTAACAAAGTAGAAATAATTTAACTCGCTGAAAACGCGTTGAAGTTTCTAATTTTTTTTTTCTTTTTTTTTACAAAAATTGAATACACTGTAAAAGAATCAGTGGCATATAAAAAAGTCATCTATAAGTTAAAGAATAATAGAATAATATTGTATTTAATCCTCATTGTTGCAAGGCGTCTACAATGGATTGTCTTCCTTTTTTATTTCTAAAGTTCAAAACGCAGCACATTTTTTTGTTTTGTTTCAATTGCAGATATAAACTTTCCAGAAAGGCTAAAAGTAAAAAAAAAAAAAAAGCATTTTTTATACTTGTTCTTCTTAGAAGTGTGATATGAATAGGTACACAAACATTTCCATATATGTCGAGTTAACGAGCACATATATCTTTAAGAAGGTATTAATAAGACTTGGTAAAAGCCCCAACGTACTAATAGAAGGTGTACAATGCCTAAAAAAGAGAAGTACTTCCTCCAGAAGTACCAATATATATAAAAAGTGATTTTGCAAGCAGGAAGATTAAGAACAACTTACTAAATGTTAAATGTTAAGACGTTTTATATTTGAAATCGTATTTTACCCATTGGAAAGACAATGGATAAATAATTAAATGTAACTACTATATTCTACTTCGAACTTAACTTGAAAACAAGTATGTACCTTTTGTCAGTAACAGTTTGTGCAAAAGCTTATAAAAAAGTGTGTTGTAACACTATGTATCTATTAGAAAACTTGCGCTCTCAATCCACTGATATGAGACAACATTATCTGGAGTCAATTTTAACGAGTGGAGTTCAATTCATAGAAGGGGGGAAACAAAACAGAGATGTTTTCAAAAACCAGAAGGGTTGACTCAGTATTTTTCATTTTGTCAAATATCACTTTGTCCTCGACCGCACTATTTGATTATAAATATAATCTCAAGTATTTGAACCTTCCCCCTCGATACCGAACGGTAGAAATAAAGATGCTGCATTAAGTTCTTTGTGACATGAAAATTATCCAAACTGTGTGCTAATACCACAAGCTAGCCTTTGTCTGTAGTATGACAATGCTGTATGGAGTCAAAATAGCGCTTATTCTGGGAGTTGAAACAGTCATCAATATCGCAAATGCATATTAACAGTTAATATACACTGAAAGCATTCCTAAAAATCCAGGCATAATTAACGAGAGCCAATATACGTTAGAACTCATACTTCGGAAACAATAGAATTAAAAAAGGAAAAGAAGAAATTGAAGAGGAAACTAAAAGATTTGTTAAAAGTTTCAGGCAGAGAGTACTTTTCATGAAGAAATGTAATATTTAAAAAAAAAAAAGGCATACATCAAATACTCATTGTTGGCACACTAAAGAAGGACAAAATCTCGCGCGTATCAAAGGTAAAAAAAGAATTTACTTGAACAAAATTTTGATTAAGGTCTTAGTATTATTCATAAGTTGATACTACCAAAAATGTTTATGGTTATAGTAGATCAGGATCAAGAGTCAATGGATTTAGAAGATAAATAGGGAATGGAAAGAGGGTGTCAATGGTGCAGCTGCATAGCCTACAAACATGTAACATATATGACATGCTTGCTTTGATTATCCAAGGTATCTTACTTGGAAGCCCATACATCCAGTAGCAAAAAGTAGAGATGATTCAATTATATATATAAAAAGAAACACTACTGTTATGCACAAATCATCATTGTGTCCCGGCCATAAAAAAATCTTTAAGTCAGTCCAGAGATGCGTCGCAATTGGTAGACATAAGTGCGCTACTGTTCTAAATAACCTTCCCTCCGTTTAATCAGAAAATCAATCGATGTACAAATAAAGAATACATCAAAGTAGCGTCGACCTTTCTCCATGAAAGAGGAGACAGACAACCACGGAGTAGTCCTAGGCTTAAAAAATATCAAGCACTCAGAAGCCGGAACTACAATAATTAAAATCAGTGACGGTTTTAAACATCGCTCTGACCGCAGTATTAACTTCAAAAGTAACTTCTTTTTTCATTTTTTTCTTTTTATTTCTTTACCACCAACTTTTGCTTGAACAAATAGTAATAATGAGCGATTACAAGAAAAGACAACAAGAAGCTCTGCTATACGCAATTAATTTACCCAAGGACTTACTAGAGACTTTAGAACCTGTGGAGAAGGAAACCGAAGCACTTTTAGACATTGAGGAAAAGAAAGATGAGACAATAAACGCGTTGGCGCTCGAGAGATTACAATTACAACAGGATCGCTTAGAGAATGGCGAAGAGAATAGCACCAATTTGACTTGTAACACCTGTGCCATTTCTTTCAACGAGCGTGAAGAACAACGTAATCATTTCAATACCGATTGGCACCGTTACAACATTAAAAGAAGAGTGGTTTTGGATGTTAAGCCTGTAGCACTGGAAGAGTTTGAAATTTTGTTATCTGACTTGACAGAAAGTATTTCCGGGTCAGAAGAAGATGATAGCGAAGAAGAGGATAATGACTTACAAAAGGATAATATCCATTCACTTGTTCAGAAACAAAAGAAGGAGCAAGAAGAAAGGGAACTCTTATTAAACGATGCAAAACAAGTAGTGTTACCCATGATGAAGAAGTACTCTGCGCTAAATTGGTATAGGCAATCCAATGTGAAGGATTCGAGTCATTATGGTGTTTATCGACATCTATTTAACAGTACTCACACCACATTGAAATCTATTCAACAGTCCAATTTTGCGAACAAGAAACGTACATGGACAATTCTGATGTTGGGAGGTGGTCATTTTGCAGGCTGTGTAATTGATGTAAATGCTAGTAAAGGAGCGGGTGAAAAATCGATTGATAAACAAGTTCAGTTTGTAACACACAAGACATTTCATCGATACACCACTCGTAGAAAGCAAGGTGGGTCTCAATCTGCTAATGATAATGCTAAGGGAGCAGCCAATTCAGCAGGTGCACAAATTCGTAGACATAATGAGCAGTTGCTTGAACAGGAAGTGAGAGAAGTGATATCTCAATGGCGTCAGCACATTTTGAATAGTGAACTCGTGCTTGTTCATGCGCCCAGTGGTAATCGCAAGATCCTCTTCAATTACCAAGGCGCAGTTCTCGATGCCCAATCGGTCAAATCCATCCCATTTGTGACTCGAAGACCAACATTGGGAGAACTTAAGCGTGTCTATACTGAAATTACCACAGTCAAAGTCGTACAGGTGGATGAACAAGCTATTGAATCTTATAAACAAAAATGGATTGAAAATCAAGAGAAACAGAAACAATTGATGGAAAAATCCTCTACCGTTTCAAAAAAGGTGAAGCAAGTTGTTGAAAAGAATATTGATCCGGACTTGGAGAAGCTGCTGGAATTGATCAAGCAAAATAAGACGACGGTGACCTTAGCATTCATTCAAAAACACATGAATTTACCGTTATCGGGTTTATTGCCACAAGAATTAGCGAATCAAGAAGATCTTTATCATTACCCAACTATTTTACATATGGTGTCTAATATGGGCGCAGCTGCTGATTTAGTAACAGATTTATTGATCAAATATGATGTGGATCCAACGATCGTCAGTGATGCTGGTAAGACTGCATATGAAGTGAGTAAAGATAAAGAGACAAGAAATGCATTTAGAAGATGCATGTGTGATTATCCTAGCAAGTGGAACTGGTTAGAGGATGCAAGAGTACCCAGTCCATTGACAGAAAAACAAATGAAGGATCAAGAAATTAAAGACAAAAAGAAGCTTGCCAAGGAACAAGAAAAGAAGCGATTAATTGAATTGGAACGTCAAAAGATACAAGAAGCACGTGAAGCAAAAGAAGCTGAATTAAAGTTTGAAAAGGTGCAAGCAACGAGAGCCAAAAATTACATGTTGCCTATTGTGAATACGGAAATTGTGAATACATCAAATATGACACCAGAAGCACGAATGAGATTGGAACGAGAAAAACGGGCAAGAGCTGCAGAAGAAAGAATGAAGAAAAAATAAAAAGACAAAAAAAATAAATAAAAACTCCTATTTTTTTCGTCTTTCCTTCCTTTTTACCAAAATATGAACGTTAAATATGATTTAGCAGGATATCCAACTAAAGATACAATAAAAATGCTGACGTTTCTGTTAGAAGAAGTTATTCAAACAAACGATAGTTTTCAACCACAAGGTTCGGAGAGAAGGAAAAGTATTACACATTCTTCCTTTACTTGTTTCCAAGCACGGTCAATACCAAGCATATCCATTTATGCTTATCTTACGCGTATATTAAAATATTGCCCATGTGCCAACGAATGTTTCTTAGCTCTACTTGTCTATTTTGATCGGATGGCAAAGACATCGAGTACGCGTACCAACGGTCTACGTATTGATTCTTTCAACGTTCATCGTTTAATAATATCGGGTGTCATGGTTGCCAGCAAATTATTCTCAGACGTCTTTTTTACAAATACACGTTATGCAAAGGTGGGTGGTTTACCAGTGTCCGAACTAAACATACTCGAGTTGGAGTTTCTGTCTTTAAACGATTTCGCATTGTTTGTTTCGTTGGAAGAATTACAACATTACGGCGACCAGTTATTAAATCGGTGGAGAAAAGAACATGAAACAGAAGGAGACATGATACAACAAACAACCGTCGAAGAAGAGCTAGCAGGTCCTATCAGAAGGAGAGCCAGACACTTATCCATTGATCAGGGTTAGAGATATATAGATAGCATCATATTATTTTATTAGATTTTTAATTTTTCCTTGATGGATTCTGTAGGTTCATCTGGCATAACGGAAGATACCCAATTTTGATCATTTAGCAACGATATATCACCTCTGCCCAATTTCTATTATAAGAAGGATGAGAAACTATCTCTCTATTCCTCAACCATTCCCTTTCTTTTTATTATTATTTTTCCCTACCTGTCTGATAACATTATAATGCGCCTCCTTCGATGTATATTCACGTACGAAATAATCATTCCCAAACTCATGATATAATCTTGTATCATTTAATCTAAATAATACATCATCCACTCTTAGAAAGAATCTTTGTAAAACTAGAAAACAAGTTGGCATTACTCTCTGCATTCAATTGTTAATACATATCCATCGTCCCTCCTCCTCCCCCCTTTTTTTTGCTTTTTGTGTCACTAACCAAACGTATCATCAGCATAGCAGTTCCATTGTCTGCCAATTCATCTTCATACAATATATTTTCATCGTAGAACAAAATTGGTTCCTGTTGTCTTAATCTATTTACATCGACCAATGATTGACCATCATGTTGTTCAAGTTCAGCATTGGAGGTTCCTCTATATTTCGTTGTATATGTCCAATCATATGGTTTTACCACGTCCTTAACATCTGTATGATTTGCAGAGCTATGGCAACTTTTTAATATCATTTCTTCCTCAACGTAGGAGGTTTTTTGTTAAACCTACCTCTTTCTAGTCCACTCTTCTGAATAAGCAACCTTGATTTTCTCACTACTAGTAGAGCTTGTATCCACTTGACTTAATGCATCATACGCTCCAAAAGATAATTTAAAAGAGTCCTTTTCCACCGTTACATGATTGTTTCCGAAAACCATCTCTGGTGGTGGTAAACCATAATCTTTGGAAATCCTAGTATCTATTCGTTAGCTTGGTTTTTTTTTTTCTGTTTCTCGTGTTTTTTTCAAAATATTTACTTTTCCATTTCAGCAGAACTACAAATTGAAGCCTTCTTACTTGTAATTGTCCACCCATGCAACGATATTCCTTGAGTAAGTCCCTCTCTTAGAGTTCCCTCTTTGATGAACACAGGTTCCTTTGTGGATGTCATTTTAAAAAAAGGAAAAGAAAAAAATTAAAAGAGGGAAAATCAAATACAGACTTTGGCAAACTGATGTCGCACTTTTAAAAAAAGTGTCACATTAAAAAAAAAAAAAAAAAAAAAAAACGAAGCACTTTGGATCCAAAAGGTGTGAATTGACAGAGACAGCGTATACATAGTATCGAATCCCCAACAGTATCAGCGAGTTTTGGTTAGGACTTTTATGATTGGATACGTTTCGTACGATCTTTATATCTGAGTGCCTACCCGGTTTGTTCTGATCTATTATAAACGACCAAAGGAGCCATAATGCTTCATTTAAAGATCTCTCTCAATGGAAACAGAAATTATGTTGTCACTAGTGTACTCATTCATGGAAACAATAGCAAACAAAATATCATGCGCTTTCCCATTGTATCAGGGATATAAATAATGTACCCTTAGATACACTAGCCAGACATGAACCAATCTTCAATTAAAATAATGATTTACTATAAAAAGAATCTCTCTCTTTTTTTTTTAAAAAATCTATTATTTAAATATATATTAATTTTAAATGCCAAAAATATCCGTTCAAGCTAATTTATTACTGGTAACTACTTCTATTTCTGGCTTGATTCTGTGCAAAATGACGGAAGATCCTATCAAAACGATCAAGTCACGAATATCTTACTTTGCCAGAGATTCAGTGCTGAAGAGCAAGTCAGATATATTAGATGTTAGTCAACCTGACAGGGTTTATCGTAAATCAAAAGATCTGCATGAAACAATGAAGAGGAAACCAAATTCATGCAGCAGTTGCTATTCCACTTACGATTTTCGATACTGGGTTATGTTACTTTCTTTATAAAGAATTCGAGTGATGTGATGAATACCTTAAATTGGGAATGATCTTAGAAGGCTTTTGGATGCTTGCTGAGTAAAAAAATTACATCTTTTGTGATGCTTATTAGATATATAACAAGTTGGGACAAGATCCTCTGATATGCATCTTTTATTGGTACATGTCAATGGGAACGTGCAATGTTCTCGGGGGAGCGCAAACTCAAACTAGTTAAAACTGTATTTCATGTTAACACCATCTTTTTAAATTATTAATTAATGTAGATAATAAAATAATAAAATAAAAAATTAGTACATAACGTAATTTCATATATATAAAGGTTTCTTTACAACAGTGGAAACAATCATGTGCATTTAAGGTACATGGTCTTTGTTCCCTTTTTTTACATTGTGAAAACTACAATACTTGTGACAAGAGAATACAATGTTCCTAAAATTCACAATAAGCACACTGATAATTCTGCTGTTTAGTAAAGCACTTGTGCTTTTAGTACAATGCCCTGGTTACATTTTAGTAAATGATAGGATCCTCCACCCCCCTTTTTTTCTGTTTGTTCAATTTGATTGTACTATGTTTATTAATACTTTTTATGATATCATCATCTCCTTGGTTAATATATGTGCTTAAAACAAAAAGATAAATATAGCTTTTTTGAACGAGCACATACTTGTATATCAATACAAGAGTCTATACAAATCTGGAACCGTACGGAAAAATACTATCCAAAAGAGAAAAACTAATCTTTATTATTAAGCTTACTCAAGATATACTCATAACAAGAGAATTGAATCGCTCCACCTATAGTTTGTTAGCACTGTCATAAAAGCAAAGTAAAATATCACTTACCTGGCGCAATACGTATGATACGAAGCCAAGATCCACGAAAAAATGAGGACAGACCTTCGGTTTTTATCATGGATTTCACGCAGTCCAGAGTTCCAGTATAGGACCTTCCAGCATCTTGCATTCTATGGATTTTTGGTTTTTTTCTTTAGTTGTTGCTGAAAGCATACAGCCTTTTGTTTTTATGTACACACACGTGTGTGAGTTTTACCTTGTTTTAACTACATCTGGTGGCGAGTTTAAGACACCAACAAGAACATTGGCCATACCTCCACTCACCTAAATGTTTAAATATAAATATCTGCAAGAGAGAGACTTATAAAATGCACGGCCTATAATTACCATATGCTGCCATGGTTTTAATGGTGCATCTGGGTTACCCGATGCTCTTTCAAACATGGCCTTCATCTCAACATAAGCCGAAAATTTGACAAGTAGACCTGTAATCGATGAGTTTTAAGAGGGGCGGAACTTTTTTTCGTTATTACCCCAAGATTGTCTAGCAACCGTTGCCATGAGACCGCTGTATAATGCGGGAAATCTATGTACAAAGATCAGCAAAAGAAAGATGGCTCTGAAAATTATAATGTACAGAATAACTTACCCTTCTTGACGGACAATGATGGATGCTGTGTTTAATAAGCCATGATACTTTCGTTGAGTTTGGTTTTGGACCATCTCGGTTTGTTGACGGACTTTGATCATCTCGAGCGGTGTTACTAATAAGTAGATTGTGTAAGCAAAACAAAAATGCAATCATTTTTCTTGTATGGGAGGTAGTTTACCTAGTGTTACTGCTTGAGTTATACCTGTGCAGATCTAATATTTAAATTAGTGTTTTATGACAATCATGTAAAAGAAGACTACTTACACCGGCTAACCCGGCAGAACTATGAGCTGGTATGACAGAACCCTCTAATTTCTCAAAGATGGGTTTGTAAAATGCCAAACCCATATATTGCAAAGAGATGCGAGGGCCGACGATACATAGCACAGGAATAGTACCTCTGTAAAATGCTATAATCGCATTTTAATACATGCACATTACCCCCCCAAAAAAAAAATTAAATCGATTATACCAGCCAATCCTTCCTCTCGAAATACAGTGCGAAATGCTTTAAAGATGCCATTTTTGTAGTGAGCCGATGCTTGTACAGACTAATTTTTTGGTTTGTTACGTGTTAAAGTGAGTCATTATTACGTGCGCTTATTTTTCTCTTTTAACCTGGAATCTTGTTTTAATGACGTCTGTTGGCTTGCAGAGTAGTTAGTATAGTTATCGTCACTTGTTTCCAACAATATTTACCTGCATAAGAAGAATCTCTATCGTCCCTGCACCGGCACCAGCCAACGTCGAATTCTACAGTGTCTTTTAGCCTACATTTTATAAAGCATGTAGTATGACTACGTACCCAGACATTAGCTTTTGGTTTTGCTGTACTCATGTTAACAATGGGAAGTTAAAAGAGTAAAAAAAAAAAAAAAGTGGTGTTTTTTGAGAAACAAAACATCAAAAACCTAAAGTTTGTGTGACATTAAATATCTCGGGATTGCCTATTTCTTTCTTTTACTGCATTCCCTTTTTTTTTTTTTTTTTTTTTTTTTTTGATGGTGATTGTGTATGCGTGGCTTCTTTTGATTGATAAATGGATTCTTTTGCGTTTGCTTTTTATACAAGGTTGTGAGTCTTTTCATGCAAGCTTTCAATTTGCTCAGTTCCTGTAAATGTATGTGACTTTGAAAAGGAGCGTCACAAATGTATAAAAAAAAGCGCCCAAAAGAAAAAGAAAAATATTTTTGTCATTTTTCTCATTAAGCAAATTTTATTAGAAATGAGCGAACCAGTTGGAGAAGATGAAGTGTTGGCAGAATATCCCATTTACTTGACAACGGAGCTGACAAAGTACTTGTACATGTTTCAATACCCTATGCGGTCAACACCTTTCAATAGCAAGAATGGACCCAATGCAGCTCGTATAAAGCCCAAAGCTAAAATGGTTGAACTTGACTTGCCTTTGGACACGCGGTCTAGTAACTATAGTACAGAACGTGGAGAGGATTTTGCGATGGGATTAAATGATAAGACAATCAAGACAGCATATGATAGAAGAATGGAGGAACATGAGGAGGAGTTATCGATGGGACACAGTTATAAACAACCCAAGAAGAAGGAAGAGGAGTTATTGGATAAGATGACACTTACATCTGTGGAGGTACCTAAGCAAACAAAATATGTGGTTGGTGTGATTCGAGATGAAGAGCTTCATTTGACACCTATTAATACGACAGTTCAATTAAGACCTGGCTTTAAATATATCGATAAAATTGACGAGAAATGGAAAGCAGCCAACAAGCGTATCCAAGATGTTGAAAAGTTAGAAGAAAAGAAGAAAGGAGTGGAAGCAAACACAGCACAGACACTTCAGGTATCAGTAAAGAATGCTGAAAGGGAAGGCAATATTCGAAGAAATGTGTATTCGATGTCTGTTCGTAATGCAGAGGAAGAAGATTGGCAACCTATTGTCTATTATGATGAAACATCACTTCAAGCAGAGAAAGTATCAGAGAAATTATACACCAGCAATAAGCAACTTTTGGACTGTAAAACAACGAATGCAGATTATCTTGATCAATTAAGTAGTCAAAAACCTCATTCATAAATAAACACTACTGTCAATTAAGCAATTGTCGGATTTTCATTGACAAGTGACGACCCTTTAGGATATGCCTTTTTTTTTTTCACCCCCCACCCCCCTTCTTTTTTTTTTTTTTTGTTTCTTTTCTTTTTTTAATTTTTTTTTTTTTTTTTTTTTTTTTTTTATATATAAATATATATATATATATATTCACACACAGACAAAACCTTCTCCTTTTTTCTTTTTCTTTCAAACTTTTTTAACTTTTACTCATCATCTTGTACATTAGACTTGTAAAAAAAAAAAAAAAAAGAAAATTTTATAAAAGCATATTTTTATGTCGTCATCGACAGTAAGTAATCCATATATTACCGAATCTTGGATCCATATGGAACAGCATAGATTCACAGGTACAACAGATAAAGAAGGAAAATACACAAGATCCACCGCTAGCAGTCGATCTCGTGCACTCTTAAATAAACAAGCCAGTGAAACCGATATGAGTCAAACCGTTTATGAATCTACCTTTGCTGAAGGCGATAAACCACCTACAAGAAAATATAATAATGATACGCGACGTAAAAGTACCACATCCACCGTCGATCTTAAAAGACCGATCATAAAAGATCCCAACAGATTAAAGTCAAACTTGAATGAAAAATTAAATACAAGAAGACAAACATTATCAGGTGCATTAATGACAACAAAGGAAGATGACAACAATAATGGTCTGGTCAAATTGGCTGATAGATTACGTAATACTCTCGCCATAGAAAGACAACTTGCTAAAGAAGAATTAGGCATTTACAATAAACCTCATCTCGACGAAACTCCTCTCACAAGAAGAAGAACGAGCGTTGTCAAGGATAAGTTACGTACTGAGGACACTCCCAGAAGACGTACCTTATCAAATGGTGCTTCTATCTTACCTCAACCTCAACGTGCACCTGAGTCTAATTATATGAAAACCACAAAGGCTGCTGATCAACAGAGAAGACATTCGACTGCAAACACAACAGTTAATAGATTATCATCTGCCTCTCCAAGGAAAACCAGCAATCTTTCGAGAGGTGATACTACATCTCCATCCATCACCAGCGAAGATGAGAAACCAAATTCAGCATTAAAGAGAAGATCTATTTTAGCTGCAGCTACTGTCAAGGCACGCCAACAATTAGATTTAGCCAACAGCAGTAGCAGTAGTGATGAACCTACCGTCACCAGACTTCGAAAGAAATCCATCGTGAATGAAAATCCTATAGACTCAATACTCGCCAACAGAAGGATGTCTAGGACTGAAAATCTCAAGGATGGATTGCCTACTTCTCCAACCATCGCCGCTGCAAGAATGGCCAGAAGAAAGAGCACCGCCAATTCTCCCAGTGAAGAGCAAACTGCTGCTAGAATGGCAAGAAGGAAGAGTACAGTCAAAAACGATTCTCCCAGCAACAGTGACCATCCCACCATGGCAGCTGCTAGAATGGCAAGACGAAAGAGTGTAGTCAATTCGCCTAATGCAGATCAGTCATTAGCTGCAAGAATGGCAAGAAGAAAGAGTGTGGTCAAGAACGAATCGCCCAATGGAGATCAACCGTCCCTCACTACCACCCGAAGAAAAAGTATTGTAAAGACAGAGGAAGGGGAGAAGAAACCAACCGTGAGAAAGCGTGGTAAGACATTACCTGGTAGTCTAGCCAAAGCACCTACTGTTCAGTCCTTACAATTACCTCCTATGAAGCTTGAACCTATAAGAATAACTATTCCTCAACAAAAGCGACTGGCACCTAAATCACCTTCTGTCAAAGCGGTGAGTACAACTAGCACCAGTCGACTTAGTTTAAAGACAAAGAAAAGGTTATCCATCTCTTCATCTTCTGCCAACACCACACCTATACCAATCAGTTCCTCTTCCTCTTCCTCGGCCGAAGCACCTACAACCATCGTTACACCACCCAAGAAATCGATTTCAACAAGAAGAGCTAAAGGACAGAGTCATTTAGGCATTTCTACCAGTCGACGACCTTCCTTGAAGACTCCTACCAGTGCTCAGGTTGTCACACCGCCATTAAAAAATTCTCCAGTGACCATTCCTTCTCCACGTGTGCGACCCACTCCCACACGTCGCTCCAGTTTAGCTGTACCTTCCACAAAGAAAACACCAGTGACTGATGATCGTAAATTAAGTGTGTCGGGTTATTCCAACGGCAGCAGAAAGAATTCAGTAGAGGAAACGATTGAAAAGGACAAAGGTAGTTAAAGAGCGTTTATTTTTATTACATTCAATTAACTTTTTTTTTTCTCATTGAAGGTCGACATAGAGCTATCAGCTTGAAGGAAAAATTAGAAGCGATGGTGGCACAACATACGATTGTTGGAGATACAACCACACCTTCTGAATATCGACCTAGAAAAAAGAGTCATGAGGACGATAAATATTTACAACTTGTGTCAGCCGAAGAAAGAGCAAGACCTCAACGTATCAAGGACTCATTATTAATGTGGGATAAAGAGATGGTGGAAGCATTTAGCCCCGGCGTGCCTAAATCACCCCAGATTGCCATCAAATTCTACGGCCATCATCTGAGTCCATATGAGCAAAATGAAATCAATAATTATCCCGAAGTCTATTTTGTGGGTCATCAATCCAAGAAATATCAAGCTATGCCCGATAATCCTGCACTTAATTACGGTTATGATGATGAACGTGGAGATTATAAGAGTGTGACAAATGATCATTTGGCGTACAGATACGAAATCCTAGAGGAGTTGGGCAGAGGTTCTTTTGGCCAAGTTGTCAAGTGTTATGATCATAAAACTGCATCTACCGTTGCTGTCAAATTGATTCGAAATAAGAAACGATTTTATGCTCAAGCAAGGACAGAAGTGAAGATTCTGGGTGATTTAGTGAAATGGGATCCAGAGGATAGACATCATAATGTCAAAATGACTGATAACTTTTATTTCCGAAACCATCTGTGTATTGCCTGTGAATGTCTCAGCATGAATCTCTATGAATTTATCAAGATTAATAACTTTCAAGGATTCCATATCACTTTAATCAAAAGGTAAGTCAACTTTCCAAATTGGATGGATCGAATACGTAATTAATTAATCTCTTTCTCTCTTCTTTTGGGCTAGATTTACTGTACAATTACTACGATCACTATCGTTATTAAATAGACATGGCGTAGTGCATTGTGATTTAAAACCTGAGGTAAGCAAGTTTTCTTTTTAATGAACATATGCAAAACAAAATGTGATTAAAAACAAAAACAAATACCAGAATATTCTGCTCAAACATCCCACAAAAAGCACAATCAAAGTTATCGATTTCGGCAGTAGTTGTTTGGAAAGCCAAAGAGGTAATTTTTTTTTTTTTTTACAAACATGCTTTTTCTTTTGATTGGGTTATTCATTATACATTGTTTATTAGTGTATACGTATATTCAAAGTCGATTCTATCGATCACCCGAGATTATCTTGGGTCTTGATTACACGATGGCTATCGATATGTGGAGTTTGGGTTGTATTATTGCAGAATTATATACGGGTGTACCTATTTTCCCCGGAGAAAATGAACAAGAACAGCTTGCCTGTATTATGGAAGTACTGGGTGTGCCTGAGCCCGCATTAGTGCAACAAAGCGAAAGGAGAAACTTATTCTTTGGTAAAGCATAATTTTTTTTTTTTTAAAAATAGATTTCTTGTAGTTTTCTAATATTGAAAGATAGATCGTCGTGGAGAGCCTCGAGTTGTGTCTAACTCCCGTGGCAAAAAGCGTAGAGCAGGAACCAAGAATCTCGGACAAGCTCTGAGATGTAACGACGCCCTGTTTTTAGATTTCATTCAACAGTGTTTAGAATGGGATCCCGCAAAACGGTTAAACCCCGAAAAGGCATTCCAGCATGAATGGATCCAACAATCCACACGACCCACAGCTGTAAGGCCTGCAGAAGAAGACCATCACGACCCTCAAACTCAGTCACCGAAACCCACTGCAACTCTAAATGATACCAATAATTATGCATAACTTTATATACTCATATAACTTTTGTACTTTTTCTTTTAACAACCCTTTTTTTTTTTATTATTTTTTTTTTTTTTTTATACTTTTATTTTTCATCTTTTTTTTTTTCATAAAACAAAAAAAAAGAGAGATGTAAATAGCTATTTTTTATTACTCACAAAAAAAAGAAAAAAGAAAAAATAACTTCCCCTTCCCTTCTCTTACAACCTTCATACCCAAAAGAATATTATAAAGTTCAACGCACATACACATTCCCCTCACCCCTAAATTATAATAATGCATAAACACATCCTTTTGCCAGAATGATGTCAGACAATAAAAGTTTATTGGGTTTGGAACCTCTTTTTTATAAAAAAAAAAAAAACCCCGTTTCCCATGTGTCTGTAAATGGTTAATGAGATTAAATCGTGGTTCAAGCCCTACTACTTCCCTTAATAACGAATAGATACGTACATTAACCCTTCAGCCTATTTAATACTAATATCAGAGTATATTACTCTGTCGCGTATGTGCGTACTGTCTGGGATCCCTATGGATACAGATGGTGATCATCCATTCTTTCAAGTCATTCCTGATTGAACCATGTATTATTATTGTTTATCAAATAGTCATACTTTCTAAATAATCTGATCAACATGACAACCGCATTTGATCATACTTGTTAAATTGATTATTACCAAAAGTTTCACAGCATCATAGATTAATTTGAAGCCATCTAATATGATTGCAATTTCCAACACCCAAATTAATAAGGTAACACCAATGCTACAAACACTAGTGCTGCTATCGCACAACAAAAAGGCATCCAAGTCTCGACGATAGTTGCTTGGAACACTCAATCCCCTGTTCTATTTGTTTTTTTTTTGAGTTTCTTCAATAAAAGAACTCTCCTTCTTTTGTGTCCATCGTGTTTTGTTTTCTACTTTTGGTATTCCGAATGAGCGTCAATATAAATCTGCATAAAATGGTGCTACGCTGAATTACGACATCGTAGCACTGCCAAGAATCCCCTCTCCCCCCCCCCCCTTAAATAAGTACGCGACAGACTGTTCGTATGGATAAATAAATTGTTTGTTATCGATTGCCATTATTTGATAAAAGAGTCATGATAACTTTCATCAGAAGCAAAAACAAGTTTTGATTTTTAAAATGAAATTTTCCATGAAATTCACAAAGATAGAAATGGGTTTAAAGTTCTCGGGTTGACGGAGACGTGTATGAGCGTAAGGTTCACGGACTGTACTCAAAACAGTAATTATGCTAGCAGAATTATTTTAGGTTCATTAAGTCGCAGATAAATCTGTCGGAAATCACGGATTCAAATGCTTTTTTTTTCTAACCAACCTGACGTTCTATATACAAATAACATTTTATTTTTACGTTTAACGCCCTCGGTTTTGTAAAAAAAAAAAAAAAAAAAAAAAAAAAAAAAAATGACAGTTTGATCTTTTTCAGCATCAAGGCTCAATGAAAAAGTCATGTAAATTAGAATACGAATTTTAATGACAGTGAGGTCTCACGCTAGGTTACATTTTATTTACAAGAAAAAAAGTTTATTTTTCATAGCCTAAAAACAATTGATTTATGCAATGTATTCCAGAACCTTTTTCCAAACACGTTTCCACAAGGTACGCTCTCCTTCATCTTCAGGACGGACATCCAGCGTCTGGAATGTACCCGACTCAAAATCCATCTCCATATTCTTGACCAGTGCTGGTCGTTTCCAAACTCGGTGCACAACATACAGCACCACGGCCAAAAATAATCCAATATAACTGCTAATCACATCTTGAGCAACAATGGGAGCCAAAAATGTGTGATAGCCTTGTCCAAAGATAATGACGGTACCAGCAACAATCACAATCCAATCCCCCCATGGAAAGAAAGGAGCCAGGTAAGGAAGTGCACTCAATGATCGACCTTGAGCTACATAACCCTGTCGGAATCGAAGATGCGTGATCGATATACAGACCCACGTAATCAAGCCTGCAAGAGACGTTAAATTTACCAACCAGTTAAATACAACACCCGCTCCAAACAGGGAAGTTACAAAAGTAATGCAACCAACAAGACAAGTGGCCAGGACGGACCAAAGTGGGATACCTGTGCGAGTCACTCTGCTAAATAGTTTGGGAGCAAACCCATCATTGGCTAATCCCATAAGTGTACGGGAAGAGGAGTAAACACCTGAATTACCAGCAGAGATCATGGTGATCAAAATAATGGCATTCATCATATCAGCGGCCCAAGCTGCACCAGACTTTTGAAAGACAAGTGTAAAGGGAGAGATCGAAATATCACTACTACCATTTAAAAGGTTAGGATCTGTGTAAGGTATCACAAGACCAATAACAAGCATCGAAAGAATATAGAATAATATGATACGATAGAACACTTGCTTGACAGCTGTAGGTACTGTTTTATGTGGATTAGCTGATTCTCCTGCAGTAATACCCACAATTTCTACACCATTAAAGGAATAAGCAGCATTGATAAATACGTTAAAGACACCTAAAAATCCTTGAGGGAAAGCACCGCCTGGCAGATGAAAGTTTGAAACACCATAGTTGATGCCACCCGCTACACCCGTGTCTACACAAAAACCGACAATCAGAAAGATGACAACGACAATGATTTTTATAAATGAAATCCAGTATTCCACTTCACCGTACCCCTTGACCGAAAAGACGTTCAAGGCAACAAGAATCACGAGACAAATGACTGCCCAGACAACGCTATTTACGCTGGTGATCCAGTACTCCATGATTAGAGACACACCCGTTAGTTCTGCAGCAACACCCACGGCCCAGTTAGCCCAGTAAACCCAACCAAGCATAAATCCAAGTGAAGGATCGGCAAATCGATAAGCGAAATGAGAGAATGAACCAGCTACAGGAATTAGAGCTGACATCTCTCCCAAACTCATCATAACGCAAAAAACAAGAACACCAGTTAGTGCATACGCTACCAGCGCTCCACCAGGACCACCTGTTGCAATAGCTGATCCCGAAGACATGAATAAGCCAGTACCTACATGTATAACCGCCTATGGTGAGCATTTGTTTTAGGGAGGGGGAGGGGAGATGCGTGTGCTTATTGATATATATATGTAATTTACCAATGGTACCGCCCAACGCAATCATTTGAATATGTCGAGCTTTGAGACCACGTTGTAAAGTGTGACTCTTTGTAGATTCGGTTGATGTGTAACTCGAGGCATCGTCTGTGATTTCCTCTAAAGTTTTTTCGTCTTTTTCAGCCATGGTGGATATTAAAACGTACAGGTGTGTATGTGTGAAGGGTATACGCTTGATCCTTTTTTTTTTTTCAAATAAAAAAAACACTAAAAGATGAAAAGAAAAAAAAAGAAAAAGAAAAAGTACGATGAGCTCATTTTATTGAATCGGGATACGACATAGATCTTATTTCTTGATGGCGGGTTAATAAAGTCTGCATCAAGAAATTGAGTGGAGAACGAAATGTTTTTGTCGTTTTCGTTTTTATGTCTCATTGATTTTTGGAAGCTAATGACATCTTGTAGCCTTTGAATTTAATGTCACTAATAAAAGCGTGGCATTGGTTGACGTTGATTGTATCTGATCCAGAACAATTGACTATATGTCTTATTCTTTACCAAGGGCAGGAACAACAGCTACTAATAATGTGATCTCAGCCAAGTATGTCGCAATGCATTAACTGCGAATTTCAATAAAATAATAATTTTTTAGGGAGGAATAGGCTTTCTAAAAAACCAGGGAAAATAAAATATGATGCCTGAACAGTAACAAGATGATGTATCTAGATGTCAAGTCATGGTTATGTAATGCTAAGGTTTCACTAAATGAGATGGAACACAAAAACAAAGAAATCATTATATTTGACACAAGTTCATAATGTTTATGGGTATTATACACTCAAATATGCCTGTGGGTTTGTGCACAAACTCTAAAAATAAGATTACCATTGACATATTTCTCTTTTAACGGGTTATCTTGATATAAAATAAAATAAACGCGATTGCTTCTTATGTTTTTAATTTAAATCACGGAACTTGAAAAAAAAAAAATAGATGAAGTCCTTTGCAGTAGTTGGGCCAATCAAGCCTCAAAGTCTGAGGCATCAAATTGCACCATACAAAAAGATTATACAGACCTCTCTGTGTATGGTACATGCTAAGACAAAAACAAGAAAGTCGTGATATATTGTAAAGGTTCTTTTTAAAGTTCACATCAAGATCTTTTTTTTTCTTGAACGAACAATGTTTGTGTAAAAAAGATCAAGGCTGACTAAACATTCCCGTTTATGGGGAATGATGTTTTTTGTGCTTATGTACCTATTCCTAATGATTTTCTAAAGGAATGGATTATTTTATGTACTTATTGTTTGCTTTTCGTTTTATAAAAAGATTAAAAAATAAGTTGACATTCAATCAAGTAAACTAATAAAGCAGCGGCATATTTGCTGACATTGACGATGCTAAATAATATTTTTTATCATGATGTACTGGTAATGGCATGTCAAAGTAGTTTGTGTTGCGTTTAAAGCTCGAATAGGTGCATCTTCATTATGCAATGTATCTATACTGAGGTAGACAAACAGGGAAAGCTGCAATTCATTTGTGATTGAGCAAATACCATCAAAAGAATTTAAACAATAGCAACTCAAGAGCTTGACAAAGTCTTCACTTTTCACTCTGACCGAAGAATACTCTTTTTTTTTTGTATGAAACGAAGAAAATTCGTCAGTATCACGAGCTTCTCCTAACAAATGTGTAATCACATTTGCCAGAAAATGCACATAAGATCACAGAAATAATTTAATACCTCATTTTAGCAACTTCTTTAAGATTAGGATCGTTCTTAAAAGAGACTTTTGTAAAAGGAACTGATCATGTGAAAGAAAATAATAGTTTATAATGCTTACTTTATTTCATAATAATCCAAACTAGTTATAAAACAGGTCGAAACAGCTTTGGCTATATATGTGTTTATAAAAGTATCAAATACCCATCAAACTTTCCGAAAATGTTGATGTGTATACCATTATTGTAATGTATGCAACATTTTTTGAAAGCATCCAAACAAAGTATTTATTAAGTATTTCTCTAGAAAAAAAAATTGTGAAAAGTTAGAATAAGCCCTCCTTTTGTTATTCCTTGTATTTGAGGAAAAAGACAGCTTCCCACTCGTAGCTGGGTGTCTAGTTAAAGGCAAACTGCAGCCACAAATTTCTCCGGCGTAGGGCAGGGTTCATCTGTGTCTTTTTCCCACAACGGCAAGGCACTGCTCCCACTCGTAGCTGGGTGTCTAGTTAAAGACAAACTGCAGCCACAAATTTCTCCAGCGTAGGGCAGGGTAAATGTGTACTTTACCATTGTGTTTTTCAAATACAAAAAAGTATAGAAACGTAAAATAAGGACTTATCTTAAAATCATTTGTCTTGTTTTTGCTGTTAATCAATAAGGATTGCTAGGATTGCACAGCAATAAGATGTTTCTTTTAGAGTAGGAATCAGGACATGCTGAACAGAGACGTACCCTAACATAAAGACATTTAGTTTGGTAGCAATTTAGAATAAAGTTATAAAAGTAGAATATATAATTGTCGTTTGAAATGGTTAAAAGAAAAGAAAAAAAAATGATGACGAATAAGTCCTACAGAAATATTTTGTCTACTAGACAATTTTATTTGACGTAGTTGTCCGGTGCACTGAACTGTCCGGTGCACTAGTTAGCCTACAACCGCACGCTCTGATTTTCTAGACCACGCGTAATTCTTTCGCATATTGATATGAAACCCTGATTCATCAATGAAAATACAGTTTTTCGTGAAGTCAGCATCTGAATCCTTCCATTTCATAAACCACTCGTATCTCTCTTGTAGGTTTTCAGGACTATTGCGTTTCTCAGACTCGAAATGTGGTTTTTTGACTGACAGGTTACAAGTTTCGTTCATGTGCTTATGAATGGCTGATTTTGTAAGCGAAAAATCCTCAAAGGATTTAGTCAAACTTTCAACTACATCACAAACAGTAACCTGTGGATCGTCATCAACGAGGTCCAAGACGTGAGCTTTGTGTTCCTCTGTGAAGTTGTTTGGGCGTCCTGGATTTCTGGTTGATTTTTTGATCGGCACTTCACCAGTCTCTTCGTAGCTTCTCCACCATCGCTGAGCAGTTCGTTCTTCGACACCTAATTCTCTCCCGACCACAGCGGCATACCTCTGTCCCACAGGTAATTCGATCATACGATCGATGAACGTCGTCCTCTGATTAATGCCATAGTCTGCATTTGTCCTCTTTGAGGCAACTTTCACTGGCTTTGAAGTAGTTGACTTTTTGTTTTCAGTTGGTTGTTTTTCCAATGGCTTATTCTTCATATAAGAAGAATGATCAACCAAAGTTTCAAGAACAATATTGGGATCGTCGATAGTTGACATGACATCTTCCATTGGATCATACGTTAATTGACCGTTTTCATTATAAATATTGTTTTGTCCATCTTCATAAAAAAAAGAGTTCTTCATCTCGTAAGGCTACAATAGACATTATAAGAAAGAGATAATCAAAAGCTTCCTCAGAAAAACTAAGAGGGGACATTTTATTCCTACGGCAGCGAAAACTTATTTCTGATTGGACGACATTTTGTTCCTGTGAGAGCGAAATTTAATTCCTGATTGGCCGACACTTTACTTCTAATTAAGCGACATTTTATTTCTGATTAGGCGACATTTTATTTCTGATTGGGCGACATTTTGTTCGGCCCGGACGACATAATTTATTGGATCAACTGTATCACATTGAGAAATGATTGATCATGTCGGTAAAACCATTTATCCCATTCATGAGTGCCTTCTGTTGTTGGGTAACTATGTGGCTGGGCAAATAGTTTTTCAGCACCGTGGCAAAAAAAAAAAAAAAATACGATTCTTTTATGCGATTCATGCTTCCTCTTTTATAGGTTGAAGAAAAAAACTCGGCCAGGAGACAGCCAAAATCTACATCTTACATTCTGTTATTTTTTTTAAAAGAGCGTGTAAAATGCTTGGCGTACCCCGACATGCTTGTGTATAAAAACGGCTGATGTTGTGTTTATTCCTGTGTCACATGCATGGAAAACAATAATATTGATTAAGCAAGTCTTGTGGCTGATAATTTCCGCCATTGTTCCAAAATATGGGATTAAAGGTTGAAAATAGTATGAATACAATATAAAACTTTATTTTATAAAACAAGAAAACAAATGCGAAGGGTAGGGTTTGGGGTTGGGGGGGGGGATATATGTATATTGTATTTTACCAACCAGCGGCCTCCTTATGCCTTTCTTCCAAAAATCTAAACAAGGATCCAGGTTCTTTCTTCCATTGGTTGTGCCAGTGATAGGCGAATGTCTGTAATAATCTTTCCTTATCAAAATCGGCCTCGATGAAGGCGTTGGGCATAGAGTTTTTCGGTGAACAGACGACTGAATCAGTAAAGCACCACGGTAAGACAGCCCAAGGACGAATACCATGATGTAATAGTCTACGATAAATTCTATAATACATGTAACCTCCCCAGTCGATGGTATCTGGTGTTGGTAATGGACCCGAGGCTAATTCGGATAACATTTCACAGAGATAGGGTGATTTGCGGTGAAAACGCATAAAAGCACCGTTAAATGGGAAACCGTTAGGTAAGAAACAATCCCACTGTGATAACCATTCATGTTCTAAAAGCGGAGCCATATCTCGAATAAATAAGGAATCCATATCAAACCACATGCCACCATAGCGATAGATGGCTAATAATCGAATAAGATCACCATCAAGATAACCACTATCATCCTTAAAATCCAAATGAGGAGAACCTTCCATGGGAGATCCTTTGGCCAATTCATGAGGTACATATACTTTCGTCTGAAGTCGATCACCCACATGTTCTTGAATCTGCTTTATCACAGGTGATAATGAGAGATCTCCATTAGACCAGAGATATAAAACTGTATTGTTGGGATTTTGAGTTACAAAAAATGAACGTAAAGTAGCTAGTTGTTTAGGACCGACAGGGGCCAGGTCAGAACGCCAGTAGGCATGATATACTGTCTTTTCTTTAGAAATAGGGTATTCTATAAAGGGCTTTGATTTAATGGTGGCAGCGAAATCATAACAGTCGTAATCTTCCATCAAACTGATACCGGGTGCAACATCATAGGTGTATTGGTTCACACCGTTTAAATAAGGGCTGTCATCCGGTAGACTATCAAAACATCCAGCCAGTGGTTTATAATAAGCGTCGTCGGCATGCGATATCCAGTTACGTAAATAAACTCTTACATTGAGTTGTAATTGACAAATGGCGAAGAAAGAAATGACAATGGCAGCAATAATAACAATTGCATATTTCAAAATAGTGATTGCTCTCCAACGCTTTGACCGCATAAAGGTCGTTGGACTAGGAAGTCTTGTGTATGATTTATTCGACCCTTTCCCAAATATACTTGAAAAGAATCCCATCTTTTTTGTTTTTGTTTGTTTAATGTTTAAGAGAAAAAGGGAGAAAAATCCTTTTTTTTTCTTTTTTTTTTTTTTTTATTTATACTAAAATCACTGCTTGGGAGAGCGGATGTATAAAAAGGATAAACAACCCCAATCAGAAAAATAGGCCGTTCTAAGCTCTTTTAATTGGACTCGGTGGTACGGCGTCTTTTTTTCCCCCTCCTTCTTCAAATATGGCGTATGTCAGTGTGTGGTACTTGTGCACTTGTATCACTGAAGGCAACAAATTTTCATTTTTCTGCGGCTGATCAATAATCCATGTAACGCAGCACGATGCATCCCGTACCTTGGTAGTTTTTTTTTTCTGAAAATAAATGCTTTTCAGTTTATGTGAGGGTGAGGGTGGGGGTGGGGGGCAATATATCTTGACAGAATTACTCATGTAATAAGTTTAGGTGTGAACAAATAAGAAATTATAATGGTTTCTACACGGCCTTACATCATGTATCCACTGTTGTGCAACTGAATTACGTCAGTTATAATCCCAAAGGAGAAGTAAATACTTCTCTATCAAAAAAAGAAAAAAAAAAGCATGTTCCCAGTAGATAAATACAAATAGGTCTGATTGAAGCCAACAGTAACAACTCATCGCATAAACAACAATTTAAAATAAATAAAACTTATAAAAATGTAAAGTCGAGAACATATCTTTCTCGAAGCCATCAGGATCCAATTGCAGAGTGTAACATAAAAAAAAAAAAAAAACTTTACGAAGCTTACCAGTCTATGATTCTTGTAAAAAAAGCGTCCATTCCCTTTTTATTACATCTCAATACGTTTGAAAATTCCACATGGAGTCTAATTCTCGAAAATCAGGAGTGATCTCATGCTCATGTTGAGAGAAGCCGAGCCGAGCACACAATAATGCCATCGATCAGTGTAATTCCTGCTATTGCTGTGGTGTTGAAGCAACTTATTTCAGACCGTGAGCGATTCTACTAAAGTGTAGTCGATCTACTTGATCTGTTCCCGGTAGGGGTAGATATCCTCATTTAAATCATTTGAATCGCGTAAAGCAGGACATGATGTCTATTAAATGGGTTTATATTATTATCTCCACCAGCCCAGTCGGACATGTATTATGCCGAGCAGGACCAAATTGTCCGTGTCAAGAAGGCATCATTGATAAATGGTGTCTATCTTACTTTGATAATTTATCAATTGGTTATATTGATTTAGAAGCACCAAAAGGCGGCAGTTAATACTTTTTCATACGCAACAAAATACTTAACTTTGTGAACTCTTGCATGGCAACCATCCATAACTCCTTCCGCAATATTGACCTGAGAATTTGATATTTGTATAATAACCAGAGCTGCCAACTGATTTTTCACTAATGGGTCGCTCAATCCCAAAAAAACCATATAAATAAATCGTATATCTTCATGTTATTTCTATACATAATATAACTAAAGCTTCTAACTCACCCATTATGTGCTTAAAGTTTATGACTGAAGGTGGACAGTTAGAGATATTCTTACTAAAGTCGAAGACTTCAATAAAACACACGAAGTATAGCTAGAATTTATTTAAAAGAGGTCCCGGAAATGCAAGCGCATATTATTTTGACTTATATTGATTATGATAATGACGAAAAAAGAGCTAATTACCAAATGAATTCAAATTAATTGATATTTCTGCTTTAGTAATAACTCAGTAAGTAAAGAAATGAAGAGATAATGCTGCTGTAATGGTCAATTTTATTAAAGTAACATGGGATGCCAATGTCATTATAATTGGCATTAACTATGATGGCGGTGTTGGATCCACACAAGAAATAAAGAAGTTTGAATATACAGTTGTTGCATCACCTAGTTTAATAATCAATTACTGATCTATAGAATCAGTATCCTTGAAAGAAGTATATGCAGTATTACAAACCTTCTTATTGTTCAAGAGATTGTTTACGTTCAATGAAGTTAAGTTTGTGTGGAACAGGTGAAAGAATCAAACCTTTAATAATCGAGTTCTCTATGTCTGGAAAATGTTCTTTACCGTCAATATCTCTGACAGGCTCAATAGTACACCTTGTAATGACTTGAACAAAGGCCATAAAAAGTTCGACTTCTGCCATATAAACGGCCGCACACAAACGTCTTAAACATATAATGTGAGTTTACGTATGGTAACCCTACGACTATTTATTTACCTTCCCCATCCAAAGTTGAAATGGTCTCGTTCTTCCAATTTACCCTTGGCAGCGGCATCCATTGTTTTGAGATTATTTAGAAATCGCTCGGGATAAAAACGTAAAGGTTCAGCATAGACCTCGGGATTTTGATGCATACTCTCCATACTGGTGATAAGTGTAGCACCTTTTGGAATTAAATATCCATCTACCACAACTATAGTAAAAATGTTGTTGATAACAGTAACCATGTTAAAGTTATGGGTTTTTTTATATACATACTGTCATTTCTTGCGCAATGAGGTATACCAAAAGGGGTAGCGGGCCTAAATCTCAGGCATTCTTTAAGCATGGCCACACAATACGGAAGTTCATCTCTGTCAGCAAATTCGGGATGACGCTTGTGTTGTTGGATAAAGGAGTCTATTTCATCGGCTGTCTTCTTTTGAACAAGAGGGTAGTTACACATGATAGCAAAAACCCAGTTCAGTGTTACGGAAACCGTATCGGACCCACCATTAATCAAATCCGCTACAATAAAAACATAATATGTACGAAAGCAGTATATTAGTACCTCCCATGATTACTATTTTATATTTCTTTCTCACATATGATGGCAATTTTATCCTCGTCGTTAAAGTCAAAATTTTGGAGTGCCTTCACAAAATTTGTCCCTTCGCTTCCAAGCGCTTCGTTGATCAATCTTTTGTAAGCGGGGTCACGTTCGTTCTCAATAAAATTTTTCATTGAGGTACGTGCCCCAGTACAATAATCCACAACAGCGAAAATGGGCAAAAAGTTGGGCAAATCACGTTCTATGCCAGTGAAAGCAATGGTTTTCATGATCAATGCAGAAATAGAAATAAAATCTGGGTCTTCTACAGATGAGAAAACTTTACCAAATGCCGCTTTAAAAATAAGGTTCATCGAGTTTAAATGCAAGTATTCGATTGGATCGACACCGTTTTTGATTTTGGAGTATGCTATCAATCGATCCGCCAGGGCTATGGCTTCTGTCTTTATAGGTCCCAGATAATGAGTATCTACTACTTTGGGTGCGATAATGGTTTGAACTAAATTTAGAAATTTTCCTTAATGCGTGAGTTTACTAATTGTCTCAATCTTGTGTCATGAAATACCTGCTCCTCGAGCAATTTTCCAATTTTTAGAAGCTGGAGCAAATGCGACACCTCTATTTTTGGTTTGTGTTAAGTACAACAGTAATTTCGGATCGACGGGTGAAAGAATTAGAACTTACTTTCCTTTGAAACTATAGTACTCATAAGCAAAAGTAGAATGAGGACGGTCGGATGAAGCAACACCATGGGTGACAAAGATTTTATGAGCTAGCAATGGATCGTCAATCAAGATCCAAGTCTGTATTCCCATATCCAATTTGAAAATATGACCCACTTCTTTATGCCATTGAGTAATTTTTTTACAGGGCGACTTTCCCAAGGAAAACATATGGCCCACGTACGGGTATGAAATGCTAGGTGAAGGAATGTCTTTAAGTCCTGATTTCTTTTTGCTGGATTTGTCGACAATCTTGTATGTTGCATATAAAAGAGCAGTGGCAGCAGCGATACTGAGGATGGCCGTCCTTTCACGTTCGAAACGCTGAGGGAACGAATTAACAAAAGTGTTCACTTTTTCCATGTTCTACAGCAAAAAAAAAAAAAGATAGATTAACAAGGAAAGAAAATGTGTTTATAAATGTTACAAATCAAGGGAACACAGACAATTGTCTCGGCCTGGAATCCAAAAAAAGAAAGGATGAACGCTATCAAAAGTACATTTATAATTAAAAGCTTACACAGAACATACAATATCTTAAAATTGTGTATAAAATGATTATAAAACCCCTTTACTCTTAGAGTATCCCATCAGTGGCGCTTAAAATGTAGCATAAAGTTTTTCGCCTCGAGTAATGATAAAAGTTTTGTTTGTCTTACCTTTCATTTTTTTAAAAAATTGAATTATCAGAGAGATAAACAATACTAGTTGTTATGACACATTGTGTAATTTTATATGACCATCGATTGGAATTCAATGATTTCATGATATCCAAAAAGTACGTTGATATTGAACTTGAATCACAGTTCGTTGCAACGCAATACCCATTTGAACAATTTATAAATATCATACACCGAAGCTCCTATTTGTATATAATTATCATTCTTTTTATGCTTGCTCAGCTTCCCCTTATTTATTTAAAACGTAAGGACAATGTTTCCAATAATTCCACACCGTTTCATCAAAAAGACGATATTTCTTGGACTGATTCAATTTTATGTAGAACACAGGGTAAAATCGAAGGACTCGAATATTTTTATTTATAATTTAAAATCAAGTAGAGACTCGCTAGCCAATTTCCAAAGAAACTGCCCAAGTGCAACTGCGTGGAAGTCAGTCTCTGTGTGCACTCACCCGCATTTTAATATTTTGATGGCTCTAAACGGGACTCCTGTAAATCACTACGAGGAGGTCAAAACGCCATGTTCTCAACTAGAAACGTTACCTATGCAATTTGGCTTGTAGGCTTTCCATAACAAGTTACTTCCGGCCCTCACATAAGTTCCATCTTCCATGTCAATAACCAACTGATCGACGAGACACCCAATCCTCCCAACTTATTTATCTCAGGCAAGAGGCGTGCTGACCTGAACCACCGAGACCAACTCCTCTCTTGAAATGCTAGAAATAAATAAAATATGCTCCACATGGTGAAAAGGTTGTTGAAGACCTATTCGTAATTTGATTTCACGCCATAGACTTGCTGATAACGAAAGGTTTGTTGAAAACACATTCGTACTTGCTGATACCCATATGACTTCTGATAGCTAGAGTTATGAATGTTAATAGTGAAATTATAGTAAGCCTTATACTTTAGGACACACATACACTTTCCGATTTCCATGTACTTGCTGATAACCATATACTTGCTGTTGACCATATACTTGCTGTTGACCATACACTTGCTGTTGACCATACACTTGCTGTTGACCATATACTTGCTGTTGACCATATACTTGCTGTTGACCATACACTTGCTGTTGACCATATACTTGCTGTTGACCATATACTTGCTGTTGACCATATACTTGCTGTTGACACTGTACTTGCTGATAGTGATGTAGTTTCTCAAGACCTTATTCTTGCTGATAATCATACATTAGCTAAACATCGCGTACTTGTTAGTAACTGCACAATCTATGTCCGCATAACAGTTGCTTACATTTTCTCCGGAGTATGTGCTTGCTGAGTGACACCAATGATTGACCGACTAACACCAATACACTTGAATGAGACGATGATCAAGGTAAACGAACAATATAATTGAAATCAAATAGCCATGTGGGGAAGGTGACGTAAAACTCGACAAACCGTCTGCGAACCTCAATTCCGCTGGTGTACCGGATCAGTTCTAACACCCAGTACCTTGTTACTATAACCAGGAAGCTTTCAGACCTATCCGGTTAATCACACCAAAGGCTCGTAAAAGGTTCAAGGCATAGAAGTACCATAGCATAGCGAATTGTCAAGAGTCCAAGTTGCGTTGTGTGACTTCAAGCAATGAACACGAATCACCATGTCAGAACTTTTGGCACGAAGAAGAAGAAAAAAAAACATAGAGAATAAAATTTTTTTATCTAAACAGATTGACGTCACCCGATGGCTTAGAGGTTTGGTTATAGGCAATGGCGTGTGATTGCATTAAAGTCATGCACTTTGGCAAGTATGGTTGTAGGTCGCCCTGTGTTACAAGGAATGTCAGAAATTCCAACTCCTATCGTATTGCTTGATAAAAGCGGATCAGTTTTTTAAAGACATATGAAAAGAATCCCTTTCAAAATCAACCTGTTTACGCATGCTAATCAATTTGGGTATTATTATGGTACCTTTTGTTGTACAGGACAAGTGAATTGCATAAGAAAAATGTTGAAAAGAAGCCGGGAAAAATGTTATCAAATTTGTAAATACAGAGATAAAGTCTAACAATATTTAGTATGCGGCAGAATGATATTTGAATTAGAAAACGGAAGTAATTTGATATGAGTCCACTTGGGATGATATGAGATGTTACTGTTTTAATTTATGCTAATATGTCAGAGGCATGTAAGGCACCCTAATCAAATGACCGTGTACTATAAAACAATCGGTGTAATTTAATGTGTAACAGCAGTTCCGAAAAGGTCTTGACAAACGATCAAACAGATTGTCAGGATCGCCTTGGCGTTAAGGCGCCGTTACACACATAAACCAACTAGAATCTAGAATAAATATCTTATGAAAATCAAAAAAAATCAAAAAGCGTTAAAGATGAAAGACAGAAAAAAGTATTCCTTAAGGACATAAATGTTGCGGTTGATCTTTAAAAGATAAGTTAAAAACGAGGCTGGAACAGACATAAAATTGGAAAGGTTCTTTTTATTGAAATGGAAATGGACGAGAAAAATCTTTAAAAGGCAAAAAAATGAGTTACCGTGTAACAGGACACCAAAATGACGTATTTCCCCGAAATCATGCCCAGAAGTTTAAAAACAGTAAAGAACTACCGCGCTACTGCAGCACTATCCCTATGGTAGAAGATCAATCAGTGTGAGAAATGATGTCCATTTCTTATTTTATTAAGAATAGTAATTAGCTTCGAGACTGTTACATCCATCCGTACACTGATACGCGTAAATATACATAAACGCGTAGAGATGTTTTGCTCTGATGAGTCGTAACGGGTTCTGCCAATTAAATCCAAACAAGCTGACCCTTATATAGAAAATTTGCAATTAGTCGTCCACGGTGGTCTATAAATAAATAGTATATCTCCGGATCGTATCCAACATTGATAATGTGATCGCCTTTATGGAAGATATTAGTAAAAATAGCTTTTGTAAAAACGATCATTCGGATCAGAATATTCTACTTTTGTGTTGAACATCAATCCGAAAAAAATTGCTTTACGGGAAACTGAAAGGAGGTGTGATACAATAACTTGAAAAATAACTAAATAATACTGTAGCTGTTGTAATGGCATTGGAATACTAGCACGTAATAGGGAGCAAGGAACTTTAAGAAGGATTGTAAAAAAAAAAAAAAAAAATCAAAAGTATGCACTCTGACTATATTGTGTCATGGTGTGAGTGTACGTGTACGTGTGCGTGTGATTTCAAATGAGCAGTTATCGTGTTATTTTGGGATTGCACGCCACCAAAAAAAAAAAAAAAGATCCATCGATTGTAGTTATATTTAGACTACACGAGTTTTATAGAATACATATAAACATAAAAAATTCACACGTACTGCATTCAAATATCACTCCCGTTAATTTTTACAAAATAAAGTAAAGATTATGTGAGTATTTGGTTCATGCAACTTCTTGTGTGATAGTCTAGGCCACGGATTTTATAAAATTCGGTAATATGCCCCAATCGATAATTGCAAACCATTGATACGTACTTTTAAAAAAACATTTTCTTCAACCAAGTTTTTCCTAAGCAAATGTACTTATCTTGTTACACACGCATTCTCTTTGGAATGGGTAGTCGATGACGAAATCAATCGGTTGCACAACTTTAAATAATGTCTCCTTAAGCCATGTATAAATCGTTACCTAAAGGAAGATATAGTATAGCAAGATCTCGGTTGTTTAAACATCCGAGTATTACAAATTCCTTCTGATGTTTGATTGAAACGCATTGAAATTATAAGTAATCGACATCTTGTCAATTTTTCAGACCACCATTTTACCTTGTTCCTTATGTCAAAACAATTAAACTGTAACATTTTGGTTGAAGCTATGGCGTCATACCCAGTTTTTTTTTATTTTCATGCATGAGAATAATTCACAAGCTCACTAAGTAATTTAGTTTATATAATCTATATCATTCTTATGCGAAGGTTTTCTCCGTTATGATTAAACAGTAATCATTGCACCCAGATATTATAATAAAATTTTTGCAGTGTTGATATTTTTGATAAAACATTCCCCTTTTAGACTTTTTGTAAAAAGATCTACGTATAGCACTGTTGGTGAATTCTACTCCTAGAAATTCTGGTTTGTTAAGAAAAATGCAAGAATATTATTTGTTTTGCATGAGTTTTCCTTTCGCTAGGCCAATGAATACTGAGCAGCCTTTTTTGGATAGGTCTTTTAATTTTATTCTAGACCTCCTTTAGACTATAGGTTCTAGCTCTTGTACATAATGCATAATCATTCATAATAAGCTTGTATATTTGGCTTCATTTTCCGCCTTTTTTAACAGCTCTATTTTATAAGGAATTGCATGTATACAAAAGACGTACTTATATCCCAGTTACTGCTAAAAAAACAGAAATAATGGCACAAAAACCGAATAAAGAAACCCAAACTGTTTCAATGCTGTGCTACAATTCAATATAAATAAATGCCCTGTTTGCGCATTTAAATTTTTTATTCATCATTTTTTATTATTTTTCTTTTTTTTATTCCTATATACTTATATACTTACTAACGCGTTAAATGAGCAATTCTGGTAAGAAACATTTATTACAAATATACACACATGGGCCTAACATTAATATTTTAGAATCTGCTGTTGAATGTGATCCTGATATAGACCGGAGACCTCTTGCTGATATAGAGCATGAAAACAATTCTGCATTCTATGATGGGCTACTGCACGAGACAAGACAAGGTTTTCTGCCGAGTTATTGCAAAGCTTTAAGTTGTTATCTACGTGCTGGGTCTAATGGTCATGGCACTGCTAATTACAGAGCAGCTTTAATTCTGTACTTTGGTAGCCACGATGTACAACAAGACTTTTGCAGAGCATTGCGTCTTTTCCAATTGTATGTCAATGGTCAAAATTATGACAACCAAGCAAGAAGCAATGAATCCAATGCATATTATTACATGGCTAGAATTTACTATCATGGTCTAGGCGTTGATAAAGATCTTGAAAAGGCATTTCAATTGTTTAAAATTTCAGCCGATCAAGGACAAGCTAAGGCCCAATGCCAGCTAGGAAACATGTACTGCACGGGAGAAGTAATGCCCCAAAATGATAATCTTGCTTTTGCTTTATTTGAAAAAGCAGCCAATCAAGATGACTCCATTGCTCAAAATAACTTGGGGGTCTTTTACATTGAGGGACGCGTCTCTCCTCCAAATCGTGACAAGGCATTGTATTGGTTTAAAAGAGCAGCAAGGAAAAAGAATCCTTTCATTCAGCTAAATATCGCAGAAATGTTTCGTCAAGGACTTGAAGGTGATAAAGACTATGTTAGCGCTCTATACTGGATGGAACTTTCGGGTTCTCAACGCTGTTCCAAAGCCCAAGTTGAAGTTGGTCTTTGTCATTTGTATGGCCGTGGAACCGAACAAAACTCTGGGCAAGCCGAGATTTGGCTGACCAAAGCTGTTAATAATGATGGAAATCCTGCTGCCTTATATACCCTCGGATTGATGCACATGCAAGGTCTTGGTATTCGAAAAAATTCTGCTGTTGCTTTTGGATACTTTATGGAGTCTGCTGCCCAAAACTATTCTGAAGGTCAAACGCAACTTGGTTTATATTATCTGGCAAACAAGAATTTTATAAAGGCCAGAGAGTACTTTGAAAAAGCGGCCCTTAACGATAATAATCCGGCGGCACAATATCATCTTGGATGTTTGTACTCTTCAGGGCAAGGCGTCAAAATAAACCATGAGCTGGCTTTCCACTGGTTTCTTAAGTCGGCCTTTCAGAATTTCCCAGATGCACAAAACTCAGTAGGTGAATGCTACATGAAAGGCGTGGGTACCACTCGAAATTACGAAAAATCCTTATTCTGGTTCAAGGAATCCATATCCGTTAATGAAAATGCTACTGGTCTGTACAATCTTGGTTTGATGTACTATTACGGTCGTGGTGTTGAGGTTGACTACAACTATGCCTTTTACAATTGTTTTATCAAGTCTGCTGAAAAGAAACACTCGGATGCGGAGAATCAGGTTGGACATTGCTATCGTTTTGGCCATGGTACCCCACAAGACTTTGTGCGTGCCATGCATTGGTACCGAAAATCATTAATAAATAACAAGAATGCTTTTGCTCAATGTAGTATCGGAGATATGCATCTCAACGGATTGGGCGTTAATAAAAAAGATGCTTCATTGGCTTTATCTTTTTTTGTCAAGTCAGCTAAACAGGGCTGCTCTTTTGGTCAATATATGCTAGGAAAATGTCACGAAGAAGGCTATGGAACACCTCAAAATTACGAAAAAGCCATGTCATGCTACCTAGCTGCAGATGAGAATGATAAAAACGCTCAAGCTCAATTCGGTATCGGAAGGTTATACAGTCGTGGATATGGCGTTGCACAATGCCAAGATTTATCAAAATTTTGGTTTAAACGGGCCGCAGATCAAGGGCTCGTTGAAGCTCAACAAGAACTGGCAAACCCAACTACTCACGAAACTCCCAATAGTGAAAAGTCCGCAAATCGCAACAAAAAGAAACCCTCTAGTGTATTAAAGATATTACACCGTGATGAAACTAGTATTACGCCGCTCCCATTGTCAGTTAACGACGAACCATTAACTCCTGAAGATGGAATATTGGATTTTGCTCATTTGACCGTGAATTCACCAAGACAGGCGGAGCCCGACAAATTTATCCATTTACCTGTAACCAGTGTTTATACCACTTCTGCTTTTCCTGAGATTAACGAGACACCCCCCCGTGTCTTTCAAATTGAAAACATGTTCTTAGATTTGAGTGCTGGTAACGCAAAAATAAGCAGACATCTCGGCAGAAGTCGATCACTCTAATCTTCTAGGTTTTCAATCCAGTATTTTTTTCACCGTTTTTTTTTGCTGGATTTCATTTCAATTTTTTTTTCTCACTTTATCTTTTTTTTTTTTTATTCATTTTATCCTACTTGTTTTTGTTCCTTTTTTTTTATTTAAATAAACTTTTAAAATGGTCTTATTTAGACTGCAAACCACGTATCAATCTAACTTTTATTAAGCATTTACTACAAAAATATAATTAATTACTTCTAGAAAAAGAAAGAAAAGGTTGCAACACAAATCAATGCGGGACATAAAACTAACGTGTGCAAAATTGTATTTTTAAAATTTCGGATAAAAATCATTTAATGCGTTGACACATGCCAGCAGCTTTAACAATTTTCGGACAAACATAATAAAAAAAAATCCCAAAACGCCTTTGTTGACATCAGCTGCCGATAATTATACCTACGTTACCCAAATGTTTTTGTTTATAGTAAGAGACATAACAAACATACATGACTCACAAACACACATGACTCACAATGGACACAAAGTTTTTATGATATCAGTCATATAGATTGTATTTAGACAACTACTCATAAAAAGTCATCAGCAAATAGTATCATCTACACATTGGAGGCTTTTGAAAATGAAATCACCACTTGCCGTAATCGCGAATATACAGATTATTCTTATCTTTCCTATACTTAACAAAGAGTAATTGCTATACTCACGAGACTTTTTTCACAGGCCCTTCATATACCGCGGCCGATTGCCAAAAAATAAAAATAAAAAAAAAAAATGTAGGATGCATAAATTTAAAAATCGCGTGTGTAAAAGTGATACGTAGCACATGTACCATTTGCCGCAGCAGTGAAAAAAAGTTAAAATGTTGCAGATTTAAGTGCCCTGAAAAATAAAAACAATAATAAAAGTGAGCTGATTATTTTTTATGTCGATCAATTATTGTAAACCTTTCTTTAGGTTCATATAATTAAAACACACAAAAGCATTTAATGAGTTATCTTCAAGTGGATTATTAGTTATCAAGAAGCTGTTCTTCTTGATGGCGAACGCCCATTTAAAACAGAATCGTTTTTTATTAATACCTGTTTACACGTTTTTTTTAGACAAAGTAAACAAACAAACAATTCTTACGAAAAGCTATGTCTTGTACAACACTGTTTTGGGTAAGAATGTGTGATCAATAGATTTTTCTTGGTCAAAATCAGGGCAATAACCTAATAAATAAGTGAGCGAATCATGATCTCCAATACCTTTTTTTAAATAGGAGCACAGACAGCAACTCTGAAAAAACAAAAGCATTATTTTCGGCTGGAATATATATTAAGGCAATAACTGCAAGCGTCGTACAATCATTTGTATTCAACAAAAATATACTTGATAGATGTCAAGAAAAAATAAAGATGATAGTTGGTCTTCGGGCAATAAATCATCATCAAACTATGCGTGGTACGCAGTTAATACCATATATCTTTTATTGTTGTTTAATATGAGAACCATGAGTGATCCTAATCTTGAATGATCTCGGTGCTCTAAAACAAGAAAGCCGGTGCAAAACTTTAAGCATCGTGTAACGCGTCCCACAAGTACGTTTCCCTTAACTCCAAAAACATGATGTCATTTGTCGATGGTTTTATTTGAGTAGATATCCACCTTACTACTGATGTGCAGTTATAGCATCAACTTTGCTGACGTTAGTGATATATTGATTTTGCAGCCAGTAATAGTTATTGATTGTCATATATCTTTTTGCTGTTCAATTTTAATATAAATATACAGTCATGAGTCCATGTATTTTGTTTCTTAGGTTAGTTTGAAACTACACTTGTGCATTCTACTGGTGGGGTTTGGCTTAACCAATGCTAATTGATCGTGAAGCTCACCCTGTTACATTTTCAATCTTGTTGGGACTTTGTTTTATTTCTCAATCTTGCACTCATTTGATACCCGGTTTTCTTTCAGGATACAAGATACACAGGTTTCTTCCACATACTGGATTGATCTTTGAGAAAATCGTGAAGATGGGCAACATTCCATGTAATATGTTATCGCTAGCATGCGGCGGTTTTTTATAATTCGTATCAGGTTTCCCCTTTTTTTAGATTCAAATGTTTTTTTTTTGAGTTCATTATGAAAAGCATTATTATATTCTGTTTGGCCATGTTTTAAGCGCATAATCGTGTTAGTGTCAATCAAGATTTTATAATGCTACAGGCTGCGCTACTTATTTTCTTTTTGAAATCACACCCCTCCTATAAAAAAGCGAGGAGAGTTGCGAGAAAATGATTTTAGGTCGCTTGTACTCCCGTGTCAGTAAAGATGTACAAAGTGTCTTCCAATGTGAAGCTTTGTGGTTTTACGCATGTTGTGGCACAGGGGAGCTGTTGCTCATTTTGCAGTACTATCACCTTGAAATTTTCCAGCGGTTTATTCGAACTTAAAACGGATACCGGCAGTATCGGTTTAAGCTTAAATTGCTACCACCGGTAACGGTGTAAGCTTAAACTGCTACCAGCCGGTTAACTTTTGGCGGTCTAAGCTTAAACTGATACCGGCCGGTTAACTTTTGGCGGTCTAAGCTTTACCGCTACCGCTGGAAAGTTTTTTAGTGCTATACATATAAAACGTGGTTGGCATATAAGCACCCTACAAGATTATCACATACAGATTTTAAAATATTTTTTGATAAGAGCACCAACTTGTTTTAGATTTTTGGACATAACTCTGAATTTATCAATGATTTTGACTAAACACTGTCGATTAATACCCTGATTATACGTAAATTAAGGTTTGTACAAACCACAGCGTTAAGGAAATGGATAGATTATTATCCGCTTCAGATAAAAAAACAGTTTTAAAAATACTGGTAGAGCTATGAGGTCAAGAATCAGCGGGAAGTAACTAATAAAGAAATATGAATCACACTAATAGACGCGTATAAGCGACAACATTAACAATATCATATTAGTAACCGCACTAAATAAAACGAAAATACTTAAATACACCACAAAGCTGAATACGAGAAAAAAGAATATTATTTCGACTCTTTAGTCACAAAATCTTTAGCCTGTAGAAATCTAACCGTCGATTCTATAGCAGCATTCCTGTGTTGTGCGTGCATCCGAAGCACAATGGCTATCTCTTGGTTGCTCCTGAATAAAACCGAACTCAGCAAGGCTATTTTTGTTACATCTGGTTTCTCCTCTTAAAACTAGTTGTATACTGGTTTAATGCGCCATGCAGTTTGCACCAGTCATACTTTTAGTCGGAACTGAGGTTGATTTGTATTGATTAACACTGATACGCGATGTGAGACGCAGTGTCATACGTTCTATCAGAGATGCTGATTACTCATATTTTAGTTAAAAATTGTTCACTGTCTGAATAGAATGGTGTGGTCATCATAAAGTAACCTGATTGATGACCCTCTCAACAGTGCGTGTTTTTACATTATATCGCTATATTTTAAAGATATGTATATCAGTGACTTCAATTTACAAAGGCAGACACCTGCTGAATGAAAAAAAAAGTTACACCTAATCCGAATAACAGCAGTGTGGCTAAAACAATTAATTTTTTGGGGTGAGGCTGATTTAAATAAAAAAATGATCGCGTACAAATTCCAACTCAGATGACCAATATCAACAACGCATAGGAAAGAGAGAGGGAGATACAGAGAAAGAGAAGGGAATGGAGAGAAAGTTGTTTATATGAAAGAAGAACAGCTCTGTAAAAGAGAGGATGAGGATAGAACATGTTTTCAAAGTGTATCAGTAGTGCAACACAGTAAGAAACGTCACGGCTTGTATTGAAAAATATTTTGAAATCCGGTTATGATTAAGATTTGGGAGGTTTTTTTTTCTTCTTCTTTTCACTCTCCCCTTTTACTAATTGAAATAAGAGAAAATATAAAATGAGCAAAGCAGTATGTATATAACAAGGGATGAATAGAATAATAAAGAGAAGAACTAACGGTTTTCTTTATTGTTTAGCCTACACAAGAACAACTCGATGGTAACTATATAACGTTTTTCTTTCTCATCTGTATTTTTATTTTCCATCATCTAACAATGATAATGTAGAATGGAAGGAAGCTTTTTCTTTATATGACAAGAAGGGTAACAGCACTGTTTCCTCCGTCAACCTCGGTGACCTCTTGAGAGGTCTTGGACAAAACCCCACCCAAGCCGAAGTTTCTGAACTTGTCAAGGAAACCGCAAAGTCAAAGAACGTACCCGAGACTCAAGGTAATAAAATAGCATGTAATAAGGAGATCATATGAAACTCATGCCTTGTTTTAGAATTCGATATTGATTTTGGTACCTTTTTGTCTATTCTCACGCGACCTGATGGTTTCAAGCCTGCAGGTTCTTCTCAGGAGTTCATTCAAGGTTTCCAAGTCTTTGATAAGGAAGGTGACGGTTATATTTCTGCTGGTGAATTACGTTACGGTAACTACAAACAACCGTTCATTTGAGGAAAATATAAAAAAAACTAACTGTTTTTCGTTATAGTTTTGACCAACCTTGGTGAAAAATTGAATGAAGATGAAGTCAACGAACTCTTGAAGGAAGTTGAAGTTGGCAAAGACGGTCGTATTAACTATGTTGGTAAAGTATTTTTAGACTATCAAAATGAGAGGACCATGAACTAAACTTTATTTCTGTAGACTTTGTCACTATTGTTTTGTCAAACTAAAAAAAAAAAAAAAAAGAATACGCCATTTTCTTCTACGCTCTATTAAAATAAATCATACATACCTTTTTTTTTACCTACCTCCCAAAAAAATACATATGAACATTGCATACATCTTTGTTTATAAAATATAGGGTCTCACTTTGTATCGGCGTCTACTTGGCTGAAACTGGGTTTATTATTGGGTAGGCGAACTCGACGGATGGATCACTTCAGGGCGAATCACTTGAGGGCGGATTAACCGGTTCTCAGCATTCATGCTTATTAAACTCAAAGGAGAGGAAAAGGCATCACTATAAAGATATGAGCAGCGTTTTTATTTTATCAGGTCTGCTTTATCGCCCCCTAATACTTCAGCCTTAACAAAAAAAATAAAAAACAATTTTTTTGGGCGGAAGCACAAATCGGGACCCTCTCTCCACGAGGGTTCTCCCCCAATGAAAAGATGCCAACTTTTTTTTGTTATTACCTTTTCTTTTTCTCTGTAATAATAATAATAATAAAAAAAAAAAATGTCGTTACTGTATTTAATCGTTGGCTTGTTTTTAGTGGCTTTGTATCCTCATGGTTCTGAAGCCACCGCTTTAACATACAACATTGCAGCCAACGAAAAGGCCTGTTTTTATAGTTGGGCAGACAAACCGGGAAAGAAGCTTGGATTTTATTTCGCGGTGAGATACAAATAATCATTGAAGAAAAGTGAAAGAAAACTAAAACTCTGTCAGAGTAGGTTCAACAAGGTGGCTCTTTTGACATTGATTTCGACATTACCGGACCTAACGGTGCCTCTATCTTAAACGGTGAACATGAACGACAAGGTGATTATGTATTCACAGCACAACATGCTGGAGAATATGCCTTTTGTTTCTCCAACGATATGTCCACCTTTGCTGAGAAGCTTGTGGATTTCGAAATCTCTGTTGAGCATGAAGTTCGACCTAATTTTCAAAAGGATGCCTCGGGTAAAGAACAACCTGCCACTTTAACCGAAATGGAGGAATCCTTGTTCAGATTATCAGGGTCTTTAACCAATATTGCACGTACTCAGAAATACTTTCGTACACGAGAAAACAGAAACTTCGCTACGGTTGCTTCTACCCAGGACAGAATCTTTTGGTTTGCATTCATGGAAAGTATCGCCATCATGGCCATGGCCGCTTTACAAGTCTTTGTCGTCAAGAACTTTTTCAACGTCAAGCGAGGTGGTGTTTAAAAAAGTGGTTTACCTATTCAGACAATAAATCAACTCTTTCCATACTAATCTTGGATGAATATGTGATATATACCGACAGAGAGAGATAAAGAGAGAGAGAGAGAGAGAGTGCACGCAGCCAATAACAGGGGATTAAATGATCTATTAAAGGTACACAGTTAGTAGCTCCTATTACATAACCTGATTTCATTATGGGCAAGAAGATATCGTACGAGCTTGAAAGTGTACACGTATAATGTGAGAGATCTAGAGTCTTTTTACATATTTATATATATATACTTACATGCTGCACACTATTCCCTTACATGATGGGAAGCTCATGAGTTGTTGGGCCCCTCCATTATGCGTATTTTCATTCGCCGCTTAATGCCGAAAATTGAACAAAGACACGCGAAAGAGAAGCTATTACACTGGATCTTCGAGACCAATGTACATTCGGTCTATTTTCTAGTGATGTTGGCCATGTGGTCTCCTCAGGAAAAAGTTATGGAAGGGAACAATATGATTGGAGGATTAGCAGTTGTAGCATGTACTACAACAGACAGACGTCAGGTGTCTAATACGATTTGGATTGTAAAGGAGTGTCTCTACTTGATTTGCATCTGTACTGTACTATAATCAAAAGTGTCACGTTTGTTGTTGTGCAAAGAGAGAGTGTGTGGGGTTAAAGAGATATCATTCTACATGTTAAAGCAAAGATATATTACCCTTTTGATGTTATATTTACCCAGAAACCGTCTTTTTTTTTTGACAAGCAACGATTCTGTTGAAAAGGATACGGTTGCCAATGATACGGTTGACAATGATACTGTTGAAACGGAAAAGAAAAACCAACGTCATCCTAACATACTGAAAGTCCGCCGTCATCTTTTTTTTTTTTTTTTTTTTGTTAAAACTTTACTATTCACCCCCTTTTTTTATCTTTTTTTTACTTTTTTTTTTAAACAACAACTAAAAAAGTCTATACCTTGTAAGTTCAGTTTACTATAAACCGTGTATTTTTGTTTACCCACGAGTGTTTCTTTTGTAGTATAAAAATGTCCACAGCTAGACCCCTTAACGATGACGAAGTCTTCAATGAGATGAAAAAGATGGTAAATAAATTCAAAAACCCGCTTCGAGATGGTGCTGACGTTTTTTGTTTGTTTTAGGTTGCTTTCATCAAGCAAGAAGCTTTGGAAAAGGCTAGAGAAATTAAAGTCAAGGTATATTATGATAGTACTACAAAGGTTTTGTAATTGTCGCTCTAAACTCGCATTGTATAAAAACATGTATAGGCTGATGAAGAATTCAACATTGAAAAGGTACGTCATTTATATACATAAAAAAGAGACGCGCCTTTTTTGTTAACGCTCCTTTTGTTATAGGCAAAGATTGTTCGTCAAGAGTCTTTAAATATTGAAGCAGTGTTTGAGCGCAAGATTAAGCAAGCCGAAGTTCAAAAGAAGATGTAAGTAGCTAAAAGAAAAGATGAAACCTTTGATTTGATGAAACAAACACGGAGTTCTTTGTTAGTGCACAATCCAACCATATCAACAAGGCTCGTCTCCGAATCCTCCAAGAACGCCAACAAGTGCTTGATGATCTCTTTGAAGAGACAGACGGTCTTATTCACCAAATTTCCCAAGATGGTGATCAATACGGTGAATTACTCGATGGTCTTATCCTTCAAGGTGCTTATGCTTTGATGGAACAAGACATCGAAATCCGTTGTCGTGAAGAGGATACCGATGCCGTCAATGCTTCTGTCGAACGTATCTCTGGACAATATGAGGAAGCCATGGGTTTCTCTCCCAATTTCACCGTTAGTGAATCATACCTTGCCAGTTCCAGGTACGTTCAGTTCATATAAACAAACAAAAGAAAACTAAACTGATGCATTTTTAGTGCTGGTGGTGTTGTTATGAGCGGTCACAATGGTAAGATCACAGTTGATAACACTCTCGGTGCTCGTTTGGATATCGCCAAGGAAGAGGTAAAAAAAAGATAATTTTTTAGATGTACGTATAAACGAGACTCATGTTACAAATAGATGTTGCCTCAAATCCGTGTTGCTTTGTTTGGTCATTCTCCCAGCAGAACCTTCTTCAACTAAATAAATCTATTGTAATAAAATTAAGTTTTGTGATTGGTTGCAATAACAAGGAGTTCCTTTTTTTTGCCCACCCCTTCCCTTCTGATGATGAATCAGTTTAAATTATCAGCTGATGACAACAATCAAAAAAAGAGGACAGTGATAATAATTAATTCAAACCCCCTATATATTTCAACCCCTACCCTCTCTCTCTCTCTTTCTTCTTTTCTCTCTCTCTCTCTCTTTTTTTTTATTACTTTTATCACATACAAAATAGAGAATGACCAAAGACCTTTCACCACCTGCTACACCACCAACGTATAGTCCCGTACCTTATCGACTGAATGTAGACTCCTCTTCGTTATGTCCTAGTCATTCGGAACAAGATCAACTTTCTCATCTCAAAACCTCCTTTCACCTCCTAACCGACCTCCAAAAACAATACTTTTTATATGAAATCATCAATAGTTGTGATAACTCGCAACTCACCTTTTTAAATAGCCTCATTGCACCTCGTCTTAAAGTCGATTTTCTTAAAGAATTACCACCAGAGATTGCTCTTCACATCTTGAGCTACTTGGATCTACCTTCCTCCTTGGCTCGTGCCAACAGTGTCTCTAAATATTGGCATGCTTTACTACGAGACGAAAACTTATGGAGAGGTCTCTGTAAATCACATCATTATCATGCTCCACCTGTCACCCTTTCTTATCGAGATTTCTTCAAACGTAAATATTCTATTGCTTGTGCCTGGAATGGTGGCGGTAAAGTCACTACTGTGGATGGTGGCTTTTCTCATGGTCTAGTCACTTCACTGCAGTTTGATGAGAAATACACCGTTGTAGGCTGTGACAACCATCGTATTGAAGTCTTTGATACAAATTCTGGTAAAAAGATTAAAACACTGGAAGGTCATGAAGGAGGTGTTTGGGCATTACAGTTCATAGGTGGCACTGAAGCAGACCCCGAACGTATCCTGCTGTCTGGCGGCTGTGATCGGTAATAAAAGCAAAAAAAAAAAAAAAGAAGTGCGTATGATGGTAAAATAACTAACACCCTTCCCCCTTTAGTGATGTTAGGGTGTGGGATCTGAATCGTGGTAAATTGCGCCATGTACAACTCCGCACCGAAAATATTCGACACTTTTCACAAAAATTTGAGTTCCTTTAGTCATGCATTTTTTTAAAACCAAAAACTTGTTAATAAAAGGTATCTCAAATTCTACCAAACTTGACAAAATAGCAATATATATATATATTTTGTAAAAAGAAACTTTTTTATTTACGTTAATAAGTGGTATTTGAGCCACGAGCTTTTTTTACTGCCCGGCATCTATCGGGCATACTTTCTACAAGCTTATGACACACTTCATCCCCCAACAACTTCCATTCCTGATGAAGTGCAACCTCCAATTCATTAAGATTTTGAAGCTGGGCTCTTCTTTTAGCAATCCTTTGTCCCAGGAGGCGCCAAAGGTTCTCAATCGGATTCAAATCGGGACTTTGAGCGGGCCATCGCTCAAAGCCTGCAATCCCAGCCTTCTCTTTCCACCACCTCGTATATCCTCCTGTATGGCATGGGGCACCGTCTTCTTGGAAAATAAAGTCATGACCATATTTCTCTGTCAATTGTTCAAGCCAAGGGAGAAAGTTTTGACTTAAACAATTGACATATTTTTCTTGATCGACAGACCCTTTTAGTGTCACCAAAGGGCCCAAACCGCCTGCCCAAAAACATCCCCATACCATCACTGATCCCTTACCAAATTTAAATGTTGGTAAAACAAATCTATCCATATACCTTTCACCCTTCTTTCTAATAACTCTCACACCACCGTCGTTGTGCCTGAGTGCGAATCGCGACTCATCGGACCAGATTACCTTCTTCCAGTCATCTAATGTCCAATTCATCTTGTCGTCGACCCATTCTCTTCGCGTTTTTTTATGTCTAAGACTCAAAAACGGTTTTTTGGAAGGTCTGCAAGAATAAAAACCGTTTTTGCGAAGTGCATTCCTCAATGTCGTCAGGCTGATTGGATCGGTAGCCTTCGCAAGATTTTGCATATGAACACTTAAAGGTTCAAAGGAGTCCCTTCGAACTAAAAGCGTCAGGTGATGCTCAGCTCTTGCTGTCAGCTTTGCTGGTCTTCCTGGACGAGGTTGGACAGTCGTGATCCCTTCAGTTCGATACTTTTTTATAATCGTAACAACGGTTGTTCTAGGAACGCCCAATTCTTTGCTGATTTGGGTACCTGTCCATTTGGCATGCTCTGCCAAACCGCAAATGACTCCACGATCGAAATCTGAAAGTTCCTTGCTTTTTCTAGAGACTTTGTTAGTAATGTCAGTAAGTGGCATGATAAATTGTGTAATAAAATATGAAAGAATCGTTGAACGAAGAAAGAGTAGGTTTATTTATTTTTTTGGCTCAAAACGGAAGTGTCGAATATTTTATGTGCGGAGTTGTACTTCGTGGTCATACTTCGACTGTAAGATGTTTGAAAATAAGGGATAAACGTATTGCTATTACTGGATCCAGGGACACTACATTGCGAGTATGGGATATCAAACGTGGAGTTTTGCTGCATGTGTTGCTAGGCCACCAAGCGAGTGTGCGGTGCGTAGACATACATGAAGATATGGCAGTATCTGGATCGTATGATTCAACGGCCCGTATTTGGGATTTAAAAACAGGACAATGTAAACATGTGTTGATTGGGCATGTATCACAAATCTATACCATCGTGACAAATGGACGGATTATTGCCACAGGGTCAATGGATGCTCATATTCGTATATGGTCAGTGGAAACTGGTGAATGTTTATCAACACTGCATGGACACACCTCCTTGGTAGGTCAATTACAACTCTCAGGTACAACTCTTGTGAGTGGTGGAGCAGACGGTTGTCTGCGTGTTTGGGATACAGAAACATTCCAATGCATACAACAATTCTCGGCGCATGATAATTCAATCACCTGCCTTCAGTTTGATGATCAACATATATTGAGTGCTGCTAATGATGGTAAAGTCAAGTTATGGGATATCAAGCGTGGTAGACTCTTACGTAACTTTACTCAACCTTCCAAAATCGTTTGGAAAATTCAATTTAATGATACCAAAGCCGTTGTCTTGATGCAAAGACAAAGATCGGATACTTCAATAGAAGAAGGGAAAACTGTAATGGAAATTCATGATTTTGACCTGTCTTCCTCTTCTTCCACCACCACTTTAGATGATACCTTGTAGCTAACACAAAAAAAAAAACAAAAAAATTATCTCATGTTTAATTATTCTACTATATAATGCCCTTTTTATACATGTCATGTTTTCCCTCCCTTTTTTTTTTTTTTTTTTTTTTTTACTTTTTGATATCGGTTGAGTACGCCAAATGTTAAACAGAACCACTCTTTTTAATCCAAGGGCTTTTTTTTTTTTTTTTTTTTTTCTATCCGCTGCAGGAAAGTTCGAGATATTTTTTTAAAAACCGACGAGTAAAAAAAAAAAAAAAGTTTAATACACTCCCTTTTCATAAATTTCTCTTTCCTTCTCTTTCTTTATACTTTACAGCACCACACAAAAAATGCAAGTCTTGCCCTTATTGACACCTACAAACTTTAATAATAAAAAGAGACCCAGATCCGAAGATGATTTCGAATCTAATTACCTCAAAAAACGATTAATATCTTCTCCACCACCTTCACCACTTCACAAAACAGGTAAAATTCTTTTATCTAGCCGATGAAAAAAAAAAAAAAAAAGTAGCTGACAAAAATAAATAGATACTCCTATTGCAATGGACACGAGGGGCTATGTTACACCGCCCAAAGATCGAATCGACACACACCGTAATTATGATCGTCATGCACGTATTGATATGCTGGATTTTAATGGCACCATCTTACCCATGGAGCAAAGAACAGGTGAAACAAAGTATTCCATACCCGGATTCGTTCTCCACAAAAAATCACCTCCACCGTACGTTACTCCATACTCTCTTAAAATTTTTTTTATGCTAACTATAACACAAAAAGATCCTCTTATGAGGCTGCTCAGACTGGTCAACTGATTTTATATCAACCTAATAATACCTTATTACCTTTATCACCACCAAATACACCCACACACGACAAACAAGAAGACGATCCCATGGACATTGATTAAAAAAAAAAATCATTTCCAGTTGTTTGCACATATTTATTTTGGTTTAATAAAACAACATTCTTCGTTTCTTTTTCTGTATAAAAAGAAAAAATAACAACCCTTGCATTTCTCTCTTTCTCTCTCTCTTTGTCATAAAGCATGTTCAATCGTTGGACGCGTACACCAGCAGTCATTGTATCTGCTGTAGCTCTTGTGTTGATATTCTATCTTCTTCATAAATCAAATAGCGTCGAACCCTTTGATCTCAACCAATTATGTGGACTGAAACGCCCACTACCTTCACGGATAAAAAGCAAGGAAAGTCAACATGTACACTATCTGTTTGACACAGAAGATAATTCCTCCCAAACTGACCTGAGGATGGAAGATCACCACTGGGCAGAAGGCGATATCAGAGGAGCCTTTTACATGGTTGTAGAAAACACACAGTTACAAAAGGCTAGAGAATCCATACGTAGTGTACAAGATAGGATGGCCAATAGCACCTATCCTTGGATCATTCTCAACAGTCAAAAATTCACACCGTCATTCAAGAATTATGTTCGCATGGCTGCTTCCCCTACCACACGTATTTATTTTGGTCAAATTGATTTAGAAGCTTGGTCCTTTCCTTATTGGATAGATTCAGATCGTGCGGATAATGCCATGAAACGTATGCTGCATTACCATATCGATCATGCAAACAGCCAATACTTTCATCAACTTCAACGGTTTGTATAAATTTTCTTTTTTTAACTCATAAAAAAGTGCTCATAAGCAGTGTATTTTTTTTTTAAAAAAAAGGTACCAGTCAGGATTATTCATTCATCATCCGTTATTCGACACTGTGGATTACGTATGGCACGTAGAACCAGGCACCACATTCTCTTGTCAAATGGAAGACCCTTTTAGACGACTCTCTGCCAGTGGGAAAAAAATAGGGTTTGCTTTGACCTATCGAGAAAATCCAGCCAGTATGTTTAGTTTATGGCCTGCCACCCTTCAATTCTCGAGACAATATTCTCCCGTCATTCGACCCACAGATAGTACCGTCATGCCTTGGCTCATCAACTCGAACTTGGAATATAATTTCTGTCATATCTCGTCGGCTTTTCAGATAGTCGAAACGGCTTTTATTAGATCAGAGGCATATCAATTGTATTTTAATTATTTGGACTTCGTAGGTGGTTTCTTTTATGAGAGGTAAGCTGTGTGTGTGCAGGTGTTTGTCTGACTTTTTTTGAGGGGGATCCCAATGGGTAGGTTATTAATAATTTATGGATAATTTAGGTGGACTGCATCGGCAGTACAGACTTTAGCAACAGCCATGTTTTTAAAGAGAAAGGAAGTATTGTTTTTGAATGAGGTTGGCTATGCAGAGAATCGCGGAGAACATTGTCCGTTTGATTATAAGTTGCTTCAAACCTGTGCATGTGATTTCCAGGATACCCATGGTAAAATGTGTTTCTAATGAAGGAAGAAAAGTCATCTAACGAGTTATTATGTAGATTTCAGCGATAATAGCTGTACGGTGGATTTACTGCGTTACATCAGTCCTGGAACAATAGAAGAAATGGCCAATTTCGCAAGATCAAAACTAGCAGAACAATAATAATAATAATAATAATAATAAAAAGGGTCCACATTATGTTTTAGACGTATGTTACCCCATTCTCTTTCAATTGTAGTAGACGTGCATAATAAAAAGTCAATCCGTAATAAACTTTTTTCTTATTTCAAATAACCTTGTCATCATAAAAAAAATATTTTAATTAAAACTGTAAATGTTTGTTTACTTTCTGTAAACAAACAAAGTTATTTTTAAACCCGGCTCTTTTTTTTATCTAAACTGTCAATGTAGGGTTTCTTTCTTTTCCTTTAAAATATGACATTACATAGTCCAACAATCCATACAAAGTTAGACTTGTCTGACAGCTCATCCTAGTAAGTATATGGTGCGACTACACATAAAGCATGATGTAAAAAAAAAAAAAAAAAAAATTAATAGCACATTTGAAAAGTTTACCTTCCAACTTATTTCAACCACGCACCACATTTTTCAACCGCAATAAACAAAATGCACCGGGTGTACAACAACTTTTACTTCGCAGAAACAGGTTAGATTCATTGGCCATATATGCCAAAGCCTTGGCCCAATTAAAACTCCATTTGACCGAATTATCGTTACGAGAAAACAATTTCTCCAAATTTCCTGTCGAGATCACCGTTCTCAAGAATCTGACGTGTCTTTCTTTAGCCAATAATCAATTACAATCCATCGATCATGACATCCTGTCTCAATTAAGTAGTCTGCAATGGTTGAATCTCAGTAATAATCAATTGTCGGAACTGCCTTTGGATATCGTCTGTTGTCATCATTTACGTGGGCTGGATTTGGAGAATAATAATATTTCAAGTAAAAAACAACAAAATCACATTACCAATTTCTGTATACAATTCTTATCATAATACTATAGAGTTCCCACAAGTGATTTTCTATCTGACTCGGCTTGAAGTGCTTATGATGCAAAAAAACTCAATCAAAACTTTGCCTGCCAACTATGATTTCCCACCGACGTTACACACACTCAACTTGGCATTTAATGCATTCACACAAATTCCACTCACTTTACTCCATAAACCCCCTGCTGCATTAACTCACTTCCATCTCTCCGGCAATAAACTAGGTCACTTATCACCCAAGTTTTTATCCGTGGGGTACGAAAAGCTCATCAGTCTGGATTTACATACCTGTCAACTTTCACGCTGTTCCTCTAAATTTTTCCAGCAACTCTCTACACGATGTCCCGATTTGCGACGTTTAAACCTAGCCATCAATCGATTGACAGATCTTCCACCCGAAATTGGACTCTTGACACAATTGCAGTGGTTAAACCTCAACGACAATGGATTATCCTCACTTCCCTCTAGTCTATCTCAACTGGTGCATCTTGTCAAGCTAGGCCTTGTTCAAAATAGAATTGAAGTATTACCACCCTTTCTCTTTTTACACATGTTGGAACTCCAAAAACTAGATATTCGACGCAACTTGTTAAAATACATGCCCCCTTCCGTATTGGCTTTAGCTCCGCGACAAGAAGTCGATATTCATGTGGATTTAGCGGTTCCCCACGCTGTTTTCCAAACCTTGTCTAACCCACCTTGTCCTTACCTAAAAGAAAAAGCTTGCTTGGATCATCATCCTTACGGTGGCTCCTTACGTACCTTGTTATTTTATGAAAATCCAACCGTAGAACATGTGGATGGTATTCTTTGCGATTTAGGTGATGAACCCGAGAATCCCGAGAGTGTACAGGTCATTTCCATGGCAACCATGTATTCGATCTTACAATCCAATCCATCTCCTTTCTCTTCCAAAGCAGCTGTACGTCAAGCATTAATGCCTCATCGGGTTCTTGTTTGCAACCATCCAAAATTCAAACGTGCGGATAATCCCATGCCCAATATGCTTTCTGAGATTGACGAAGATGAAGTTCATACTTTGGAGGAAGAACCGCTTGTGACAGAAGAACAAGAAGAGATTCATGTAGAAACGCAACGCTTATTAACAAATGTGACCTCTTTACGTGAACTCACTTTACGATCCTATCTAACACAATCCCATCCTAGTTTATTAGAAGGAATTCGATTAGATCAAACTCCCGAGCAGTGTTATCAATTTATCAAGCGTGTTTTACCAGCCACTGTCGTCCCTCACATGATTCAAATCATGACGTTGGAAGAAGCACGTCAATGCGATTATTGTACTCAATGGTATACAGATTCGAGATTCCAAATTGGTTATCTTGCTCGTTTATGTAATAATCGGTTACAAATACCCATTCGATTTAATCTGTGCTCGACCGAATGTACTTTGGATGCTGTCATTAGATTGTATCAGACTACCATGGATTGGCATACCAGACAATCATTGGCTCATATCGATGCAACCTTATTACTACCACAGGATAATCCTTCTTCCTTTGGAGCGGGAGATCGACGTATTTCCTCGAACTATTGGTCGGTGGGATTGACACATAGTCCAAGTTTGATGGCTACACGAAGCTTAACAAATAGAACTTTGGGGACAGTCCATGCAACTGATGAGGAAGATCAGGATGAAGAGGATGAAGAGAGGTCTCCTACAGAAACACAAGCATCTAGTCAAACCACGATTTCTTCTGTATCTACACTTTCATGTAAATATAATTGATAAAATAACTGGCAATGAAAATTTATGACTAAATATGATATAAATATAGTGGCAAGACAAGTCTCATTGGCAAGAAGTATACGTAACCGTGTAGCCCAATTCGCATCTACTATTTTTAATGGAAGTACACAAGACACGCATGAGAATTCACGAGAAACAAGCTTATTACCGCTTGTGTTTCCCAACTTGAGTTTGGGGACCACGAGTGATGTGGAACCACGACGTCAAGATCCCCCACCCTCCATGATTTCGGTGACATCACGTATGGTTGAAGGTCGACTTTTAACAGAGCGTACGCAGCCCCCTTTACGTTTATCCGCACCCACACCTAATCCTACTGCCTTTCACCATTTACCAAGAGATGCCATTCGACTCGAAAAATTTTAAACCTCCGTTCGTCTACACATTTTTAAACACGCGTATTTTTTGTTTTTTTGTTTTGCAGATATTTTTTTTTCTTTTAGTTGTAACGTTTCATTAAAAAAAATTAAAATAAAAAAAAATGGCTGCTCCTAATTCACTTGATTTACAAGATGTTGGCTTCATCTTTGTTCGCGAGTATTATACATTTTTACACAAGAAACCTTACAGACTTCATGCCTTTTACAGTGATGATTCCATCTTTGTTAGAGGCGATGAAGGCACCGACCCCGTCAATGTGAAGGGCAAAGAAGTAAGTTTTTGGCTAGTGCCCCCCCCCTTTTTTTTTTTTTTCAAAATAACTCATTCACTTCTCCATAAAAATAGGAAATTCGCAAAAAGATTGAAGCTTGTCATTTTGAGGATTGTAAAGTTCTGGTGACCCAAGTGGATAGTCAAGGTTCTGCCGATAATGGCATCCTCGTTCAAGTCCTGGGTGAAATGTGTAACGGCAACGGTCCATCTCAAAAATTCAGTCAAACCTTCTTTTTAGCCACTCAACCCAATGGTTACTATATCTTGAATGATATCTTTCGTTTCCTTAAAGACGAGGTTGAGATTGATTATTATACCTGTGAAGACGACACGAAACACAATACGGAGACTCTTGTCATTGATATGCCTACAGTCAATCACCAACAAGTGGAAGAGGAACGTAGACTCGAACAACTTCGTTTAGATCAATTAAAAGAGGAGGAGGAAAGAAAACAAGAAGCATTAAAGAAGGAAGAGGAGGAAAGAAAGAAGAGAGAGGAAGATGAATTAAAGAAACAAGAGGAAGCTTTGATCAAAAAACAAGAACATTTAAGAAAGGAGCAAGAAGCTACTGCTGCCGCTGCTGCTGCCGCTGCAACTGCTGCTAAAAAGTTAGAGGAAGAAAATGCCAGAAAAGAGGAAGAGCAAGCCAAGAAAGAGGAATTGGCAAAGAAAGAAAAGGAAGCAAAACCTAGCCTCGATCATAACAAGAAGGAGGAAGGTGTCGTTGAAGAAAAGAAAAAGTCTTCAAAGGCAGACAAGGGAAAGAAGGATCAACAAAGAAAGGAGCATAAGGCTGCCGCTGCTGCCGCTGCTGCTGCTGCTGCTACCAACGGTACTGCTACCCCTCCCACCACCACCGCCCCCACAGCACCTACCTCTTGGGCTGCTTTGACTGCTGCTGCTGCTGCTGCACCCCCACCTGCGTCCCCTGTTACAGGCACAGTAACACCCACACCTGCTGCACCATCTCCCCTTCCGGCCGTTGCTACCGTAGAAGCACCTGTTACCCCTTCTACCAATACCAACAACCCCGATAAAGCTCCTCAACAACAACAACAACAACAACAGCAACATCAACAGCATCAAAAGTCTCAAGCACAAAATGGGTCTAAAAAAGGTAAAAAAAAAAAAAAAAAAAGAAGCTGTTTGTTCACACACACAAACACAAAGAAAGATGAACTTACTAAATAGCAATAATAATAATAATAGAAACTACTCACATTTTTGTCAAGAACGTGACAGATGCTATTACAGAAGAACAATTGGCAGAAGCCTTCAATAAGATTGGTCCTGTCAAATCATGCAACATTTCACGTAGTCGTAACTGTGGATTTTTAGAATTTGAACAATTGGAATCTGCACAAAAGGCTTTGGCTCAAAATAGAGTGTCTGTTGGTTCCTATATCGTGCTTGCTGAAGAACGTCGCTTTAATAGCGGTCCTAGAAATAATTATGGACGTCCCCAGCAATCTTATAATGATCGTAGACCAAATACCAACAACAATAATAATAATAATAATAATCGTCGTGGTGGAGGAGGTGCTAACGGAGGACCCAACAATGGTCCATCTCGTGTGAATAATAATCAACCTGGTAAAGGCAGAGGTGCTCCTACTCCCAAATAATAAGTAAAAACACACACACACACACAAGATATACATTATTTAGATTATATATAAAACAAAAGGACAAAAAATAAAAGTATATTTCGAACTGTAAAAAAAAAAAAAAAAAAAAAAAAAAAAAAACCCTCGTATGGGGCTGTCAGCTCACCATTTTTACTCCATCGCTCTAGTGCATTAAAATTATACATTTCTACATATACCTGAACTTGTTCTAGACTTCGTGGGATTATTAGTGGGAATTTTAATCGCTAAAGATAAGCCTGGCGTCTCATTCCGATAATTTGTTATAGCGGCAATACTTATGAGCACAATGTGGATGAGAAGAGGATGATGGAATATAGATAGGTAAAATAGTGAAAAAAATATTATCATATGAATGAAAAAGTATCCCGATTGTTTACATCATTTTCAACTTTACCTAATCCCAAGAGAAATTACGTTTTCTTGCTTTTACGTTTTAGAGAGCAAGAATTCATATCCATGATCTAGTTTTCTAACGGGTCCTTTATTAAATAAAAAAGAAAAAGAAAATGCAACCTGATAGTCAAAATGATCTCTTTGTGGCAAAAGAACGGAGACTAAAGCAAGAAAAAAAAGGCCAAGAAAAGTAGATTATAGGCCTGGAAAATTACTTGATGATCATTAATAACTTAAACAGCTATGTAAACTATAATGAACAATGCGACGGGTATGAAAAACCCAAGGACAATAAATCAGACGCGCATGAAGACTGGAAAGAGCCTATAAAGTTGAGAAGTATGCAAACCCATAAAAATCGGGCCAATCTTTAATCGAAATATAGATGGTGTAAACAATATTGCTCTTATTGGCTTTTCTCACACTGTTTCTGACTATACATTATCAGCTACTATGTTTTCGATTACACATTCGTAATACGAACAAGCAAGCTTAGTATCATTTCAAAAAGAATATAAAAGCATGTCAGAACATCATCATAATTATAACGTGTTGACCCAGTAGTCTATATCTAAGTACCCCCACCCATTTCCTCTCATCACCCTCCGCCTTTTGATCCCCTTCCTCTGCTACTTTTGTGGGGTTGAGAATGGTGCACATGTATTTTATTCATGACATGACGGTATCTTGTTGGTCCATTTTTTCTGCCATCATGGCGACAATGGCCGCACCTACAATACGAGAATGCTGAACAATACCAACCGATAATTTGGATGCCACTTCTTGAGGAATTAATGCCTTGATAGCTTCACATACACGAGGATGGAACGAAGGGTAGTCCTTATACACATCACCACTAATGGCTATAATTTTTTTAAAAAAAAGATGTTTTTGTGTGAGTGTTTATAATAAAATAAAAAAACAAAAACTTTTCTTCTTTACCAATGGCAAAGCCTTGTGCGTCGTCTATACCGATACCATCTTCCACCATATATTTAACCACACTAGCAATACTGGCACCGAGCAACAGGGCAGCACGATGACCTACCCATTCACACACTTTTTTAACAATCTTTCTGTCTTCCAAAGAGGTTTCAGTCACACGACACATATCCTCCAACACCAATCGTGTGTCCTCTAAATCGTCTTTATCCGCTTCACAAACGTACATGTAACTGGTGTCGAATTGATAAGGAACCAATAATAAACATTCATCTTCATCTTCATCCACTTCAAATGTAAAGACATTCTGATCCATCAAATAAACAAGCACTTGTCTTGTGATCTCTCCCAAGTACATACCCGTTGTCATCTTTTCAAAGTGATGAATGCCCGGGTTATTTGATTGAGCATCTAATTCATCATCAAAGGTGGTCCTTGGTAAATGTTTCGAGCCAAAATTACACCATTCCGTATTGATAATCATGTCCGTCTGAGCAGCAGCAGCTTGACTTTCCTGCCTGAATTGGCCAATATTGGCCACTTTATCGTAATAAGCACAATTTGTACCTGCACTATGAATCACACCGATACGCGTTGAAGGATGCTGATAGGCATGTGCTAACAATGTACATACACCATCGTTGGCCATAGCAACGATTTTCACAGCCAGTCCCTTTTCTCTAAACCTCGAGTCAAAAAGATCCACAGCATCACAACCAATGACATTGGGGAACTCGAAACCATGTTCGAGGGCAATAATGATGCCACGATTTAAACTGGTCTGTAACACGGCAAATCCAATACTGATAGCCATGGGATAAATATGTTGATGTTGTGCACCCACTCGTTGTTGGAAATCAGACACACAATCAGCAACATAGTCAATCAAGACACCGATATCATCACCTGCCGTTAAATTGTCCGGGATCTTGTATTGGTATTGGTTGATGGCAAGTTTACCTCCTTCTCCCTTTAACTTGACTTGACATACATAGATATCTACACCACTGATTTCAAGCGCCAAGTACGTGCCCTTTTCATTGCCTGTGGGATAGCCTATATTTTTTTGTAGAGAAAGAAAGAGAGATGTTCAGGCATGGGACTTTGTGTGTGTGTGAGAAAAAAAAAGTGAGAAGGTACCTGTAACATAGGACGGAATCATCTTTAATTCGCTGCCTTTGGTAGCTCGATTGGTGATATTTAAACCTGCCTTCATTTCTTCATTAAACCCTCCCACCAATTGAGTTAATTGTTCATTGGTCACTCGAAACACATTTTCCACACTTGTTAATAAATCTTGCTTTGTCGTCATTTTTATATACGAATGGGAAAAGAAAATAAATAAATATAAAGAGAGTTTTATTAAAAAAAAAAAAAAAAAAGAAAAAAAAAAAAGAAAAGAGGAAAGTCCATGCCCTTGTACCACGCGAGTTTCCATTGGTACTAAAGTTTTGTTATATAATCCTTCACACGTTTCCCGTTCCTTGTGCAATGCGTTTAGTTAAGGTATCTACTAAAAGCGCATGACGTTTTCGAATCGCATCTTCATCAATCTTCATATTTTGGATTTGTCCCACCAAATCTGCATACGGGCATTTTTCTTCCTCCTCTTCCTCTTCTTCTTCCTCACCTTCCGTGGTATATACGCTGCCAGCAGTAGTAGTAATGGTTTCTTGTTTTTTATAAACAATGTCACTATGAGGCGAAGAAAACAAATTCATCATTTGTACCAGCTCCTTTTTTTGGTTAAAGGTACCCGTTGTACTCAACACAGGTTGTGGAGTTTCTTCCTCTTCTCTTTTAGCAGTTTCAAATACAAGATTGGGTTCCACTTTCTCGTACTGCGTAGGTGTATCAAAATCAATGGCATCAGAAGGTGTATAATCATACTCGATCGACTGAAATCCAGGTCGTGTATACTCGGGTTGTGTAAATTCGGGTTGTGTAAACTCGGTTTGTGTAAACTCGGGTTGTGTAAACTCGGCATAATTGACAAACATCGAGTCGTCAAGACTTCTGTTGGTAGGACGAGGAGGTAGAGGAGGAGGGATATTAGCTGGAGGAGAGGGGATGTATCCAGAAGAACCCTCATTATTACCAGATATGACATGAGCAGGTGAGGTGATATAGCTAGGAGAAGTGATATACCCAGGCGACCAAAACTGAGGCTTCAAGTTAAGAGGAGAAGAAGAGGAATGGGGTGGTGTATGAACGTAGGAGGACTCAGAAGCAGAGTTTTGTTTATCGGATGTAGTAGTCCATAGATTTTGGTTGGTTAATTTAGGATACAAATCATAGTCCTCTGAAGAGAGTAAATCTTGTTGAAAAAGCACGGGTTTTGTCGTTGTGAGGAGTTCAGGATAAATGTTATCGTCTTCCGTTTGGATATTAGCAGAGAGTTGTTCTAACCAATTTTGAAGTTGTGGAATCGCTTCAGGTTCGCAAGGTAAAGACCAGTCATTGTACTGAAGTAAAGGTGCAATCGAATCTAGTCGATCCATCATATCTACAAAAAATAAAAAAAATAAAAAAAATAGTAAGTATAAATTCCTTGGTATTTCTGCCAAGACTTTTATAAAAAATAAAAACTTTACCAGTGTCGTAACTAGGTGAAGATTGGTTTTGTAGGACATCGTCAATAAGCTCTTGTAAAGGATCCTGGGAGTAGTTTTCATAATAAGGTTGCTGAGATGACTCGCCTAATGAAAAACTAGGACTGTAGGAGGACAAGTCTGACTCTGAAGTCTCTACTAAATTCGTTTTAATAAAGAGTACAAATCATGATTATTCACAGCATACCTTTCTTGGGTGCATGTGGTGTTACTGTAACATTCACTGTGGTTGCTTTTCTTCTTCTACGTACGGGTTTATAGCCGGGTTGGTTACTAAGTAAAGAGGCTAGAATTCATTCAGTTAGTAACCCCTCCAAAAAAAAAAAAAAAAAATCATGCAAAAAAAAAAAAAAAAGAAAAAAACCTTGATGCTCTACTGTATGGATACGCTCATGTTTTTTTAAATCTTGAGGTCTTTTAAACCCTTTACTACAAAGCTTTTTATGATAAATTAGTTAGTTGGCTTATCACTTTTTTTCTCGGAGTAAATTGTCGACTTTACTGTGCACTGGTGAGCTAAAGAAAAAAACGAAAGAAAAAGTTAGTCTTCAAGCAGCTTGACAATAGAAAAGAGGGTGAAAAGGTGTTTACGTTTTAAGGGTAAATGAACTCGCAAATGACTAGCGAGATGATCTCGTTTGGCTGCAACGGTGCCGCAACCGTTCCATTGACATTGTAAGCAAAGGTTGTTGGTCGCCTTTCGACCAATGTGATCATCAGATAAATGTGTAAAGAGATCTTCTGGATCTCCAAAATTCAATTGGCAACTGGACCAACGACAAGAAAACGTAGTTCGAGGCATGGTATGTATGTATATTTAATAAGAGTAAGAATGAATGTTGTAGTTAAATAAGTAAAAAAAAAAAAAAAAAAAAAAATACAAAAAAAAATACAAGTTATTTTAACTCGGGTTCCAAGCAATTTTTAGGGACAAGAAATCTTTATCTAAAAATAAGTTATTACATTCTGACAGTGTGTGCGCCTCTCTATTGTTTTTCGTTGATTACGCCTACATTAGACTCTATAAATTCAGCGAAACGAATACCATATTTCATTGGTCTGACTGCTGAAATTGTTGCCTATTTCATCCAAGGATGAATATGTGTGGTTATGTTTGTGCCTTTTTTTTTGTATTTTTATGAAACATGTGCTTATTTACCTTGTCCTGAACCAATCCCTTGACCAAATGCTCGGCCTTCTTTTTTAAGTTGTACGGTGTCAAAATATCAATGATACCCAAAAAATAGAGCGTATTCGTTTCATTATCACCACCATCTGTTGACGTAAATCCTCCACGATCTGCATAGAATTTACACTTCCTACGACTAAATTCAAATACGTCAATCAATGATCATATGCGCGTTACATTTTATTTTTTATTTTTACCCAGGTGGTCCAACAGTTAGCACTTGCGATGCATCTAATTGTATAGGCCCTTCAAATTTTATCGATTTTCTTACTTCAATCCGACTGTCTCGTTTCATCACGCGTTCTATTGTCTCTGAATGAGCCTATTTTGTACACAGACATGTTAATCATCATCGTCACTATACATAAACGTGGAGATCTTACACAAATGACCAACTGGTCTCGTATATGTTTTGAATTTCCCACATTGAGCTCGTGTACACCCACTAGCAGACTATAATCCATGATGTTTAACTTGATCAACAACTACATGTCGTTCGCCCCTTAAGCATCAGTATCGACACACATACAAAATATACAGATTATATTTCTTACCTCAACATCCCGGTGCAACTGTTCGATAAAATCCTTCTTTTTTTCAGGCCCCAATTCTAATAAACAGGCAGCCTCCATCCAGTTCAAATCTTTAAGCACAGCTTGAGGATTGCGTGCGATTTCTTTTGCTGTGGTACGACGACCCTGTGTAGATCCTTTCAGATCATAGGTCGCGTGCACGTCCTTGTCACTGGGGAATACGTTTCCCATGACAACGAAGCGAATTTTGGGTCCATGAGGTAATTTGATGCGATGCAAGCCATAATAACGACACAACAACGTATGTGGCTGATTCTTTACATGCTAATTATTATCATGGGGAGGCGTGGTTAATTTCGAAATATAACGGATACTTTTTTTTCTGGTTACCTCGTAATAATGTGGTAAGATCTTTCGCATGAATCTGTGTTCTGATTTGGGTATGGTTTTGATGATAAATCGATAATCTTTGGAATAATAAAAAAAGCTGCCACTTTTACCGGGAGAGCCTAATTCGGAAAGAATATACTTGTTGGTCAACGACATCATGTAGTCTGCAGCATCGATATGAAAGGATTGTCGAAGATGTCTAAATACCCAGGGACAATAATCTTTGAATTTAAAATCGTACATCACACCCGGTGTTAATTCGTTTCCACTCCTTTTCTATAGATATTAGTTACAGGAAAAACTACTTCCAATGAAAGCACTTACTCGTCAAAGACTAGTTTATGGGCTGCAGTGAAATCTTCTTCACAGAGTTCCCTTTCAATTTTAGCTGATACTCGACCCACAGCTGTTCGAATACCTGTCAACATATCGTACCTGTGTAATTACAAAAAGGTTAAAACTTTCTTTTACTTGCATAAGCTAAATAGACTCACATGAGTTTATAATTTCGATGTCCTTCCCCAACTCGTGTGCCAATGGTTACTCTATTCTCGTCTTCTTCATCGTCCGACATGACTCTTCTGGATGTACGACGAGCATACATACGATCCACAATAACCTCCTCCAGGTTCGTTTCTTCTTCCAAGGTTAGTAAACCCAAATCGGGAGTGACGGTGTATCGTGGATTGATGACAAAATTCGTATCCTCCCTTGAGCTGGGTAAAGGATTGGATTGTGTGATTTCTAGTGGATATAAACTCACTTCGTCCATTCCTGATTTCTTCGGGGTCAATATATTACTATCTAAACTAGTCGAGTGAATTAACGGCCCCATGTCATTGCTCGTAACAGTTTTCTCATGTTGCATGGCCATCTCTTTTTTTTTTTCTTGTCTGAATGAGAGGAGTGAAAAAGGGGAGGAGAGAGGGAGAGAAAGAAAGAGAGATAGAAAGAGAGAGAGAGAGGAGAGAACACTTTAGCTATTTTTTAAACTAAACAGAAAATTTAGTTCATTATTTCCCTCTTTGTATTCGTTTTTGATGGATCTTGTCTCTTTAAACACTTGTCGCACTGAAATTTTAAGGTTGGGTTGCACAAACAATTGTCACGCATTTATTTTGTTTTGAAGTGCTGCAACAAGGTAATCAATTCACTCGATGTCTAACATCACCTATTGAAGCTATAATAAACCATGTTCTCATTATCTGGTTTGATGAAATAAATAGTTGGCTTGCAATCTGCTATAAAAAGCCACGCTTGTGATATGCGGTAGTATACACTACATAAAAAAACAGAATGCTTTCGGATTCCTAGGTTTTGACAACAAGGGTTTATTAGACAACATGAAAGTCCCCCCTTTGTTACACTGAACCCTTTCTTAAGGGGGGGAGCAGGTATATACTGATTGCGCGTTATAAACTATTTTCCATTGTAAAAGCAATTGCCGGGTTTATAAACAATTAACGTCGATTGGTGATCAATGTGTTTTTATCAGGCCATTGTACGGGCCCTAAAGGTCTTCTAACCCAAGTTAGAAATTCTACATCTTTTAGCACAATGTGAACACTAACTCTCATTATACGTGCTTTTTAAAAATGGCCACCTGACACAAGCACTACTCATGATGATGAATTTTCGTTCAACAAATACCAGCTTCTTGCTTTTTCGTCAAACGCGTCATACTCATAAAACCAAGACTAATTATACAAGCACCCTACTTAACCGTTTATTTGATATTTTTGATTGTGAGTCTCGTCCTTTTGCTCTTTAATGGATTCCCTCAATCGATATACTTATACATACCATAGAAAAGGCCTAAATGAAAAGAATCTATTCAATGATGTCACCTAGCCTTCCACAATTTAACATGAATCACAAGCATCACAAATGAGACCACAGCCTTTTTAAAAACGAGTCTCATTTGAACAGTTGTATACCTATTTTGAGTCTCAAATGAACCACTGGGAAGGAATCCTGTTCCTACTTTTATCTGTAAAGTATGAACACCGGTGATCTCGTGAAGATGAGTCTCGATTTTTGCGAACCCTGTTTCGAGTAACTTGAATGCTTCAGTTTCGTAAGTTTTAAATAATTTGTAAAAATTCTCATTTTCTGCTATTTCCGAGTGGTTCAGAACGTGATGGTTCAGTGCGTGGTAGTTTATAGTGTAGGTCAGAGCGCAGTTCAAAGATAAATCAGGATTCAGATTCGTTATTTTCAATATGCTAATCAGTATAGTTTTAATTTGCTACCTTTTTTTTGACATTACGTACGAAACCGCTATATTCTTTGTGCAAACGTATTTTTTTTTATACCACTTAAAGAAATTCTGGCCAAGACCAGCCAGCCGGTATGATAACACCTATTTACAGTGCAATCCCTGCTATTCGCAGTCTGTGAATTCCAAAAACTCAAGGACCCTGCCTAGGAGGTCGTTCTCCTGTAGATAGCAAAGACTAATCGCAGCCGCAATATCACAATAATATCTTTTTCATTTTAACGTCTTTTGAAAGAAACAAGAGTCACTACTAAACAAACCTTTTCAAGTTATCAGTTGCTTTCATTCGATAGAAGTATGTTAAAGGAAAAGAAAAGAGGGAAGAATAAAATGTGTGAACCAGCTTTATTTATAGGCTGATGAACAAGAGCTTATGTCAGAATGATTTAATTGCTTGTTTCATCATCCATAATGTTTGGGCCTTTAATTAAAATAGAAACACTTGCAAAAACCTTCCAAGCAAGTTAAAACTTGGTAGTTGTCTATCTGCGCTTTAGTAGTAGTTTGTAATGACAGTGAAGCAGATTTTATGGAAAACAAAAATCGGTTATCCTATGACGTTTAGACGATATGGCATGTCAATCGAAGTAAAGACTTATGCATATACCATCACATAATTTTAAAAAATACGTTTAAAAAGATTAAGGAGCTCTAGACATTTCCGTGTGATATGGTAGTACGAGTCACGTAGAAAGAATAAGGAACTGTAATAGTGCGACCACGGTTGATGAGGGTATATGTCAGAAGATAAATATGATTGCATAAGAATATTTACCTTATATAATCACATTAAAAATAAAGTAGAAATAGAATATTTTATTGATATAATTATGATAAGTTTAAATAGGAAAAATAATTCAAGTTGTATTATAAGTGGGATATGAATGATAGGTTTATAATAGTTGATGTGGCATCTTTGAAAAGGCACCCTCAAAGTAGTACCCTTTGCATCTTGTCTTTTGGTCCTTAAACATTGTATTACAGGAACAAGTACGAACTAACAATCAATCATTTGAGCTTATTGTATCCCCTCTACACCACCTTTCTCATACTTATTCCTAAACCCAATAACCTCGTTAATATAACACTGTAAAACTCAAAACCTAATAAAATGAAGTCATTTTACAACTCCAATTCGCACGATATCTAATACTTTCCCTCCAACGTTAGGAAGTTAGATTAAAGTCAAGGAAGAGATATTGGATGACTTCCAAAATGCAAAATAGAATTAAATAGAATAGACTTAATTTTTTGGGTTGTGTAACGTGGAATTAACCTTAAATTTCACCGCTTAAATTTTTGAAGTTAATTCGACCCCCCTACCCCCCCGAATTAAAAAAAATTAACAAAAAAATCATCTTTCTATTAAATAATTCATTTCTGATAAACGCTAATAACATTCAGATAATAAATATAAGATCTATGAATAATATTTATCAAAACAGTTTATTTATTTGGCTCTTTTACGCTTCTGAGAACCGTCTTTTTTGCCCTTTCAGGAGAAGTAACAGTGAGTTGCTACTGTGCATATAAAACTGATGGGTTTTAGTGCGAACGGAAGGAGCATCATTGATAATAGTTAAACTATCTTGGTTACCGGTGTCTGGATGTATTCAAACATCATTGTCATCTGATAATATAGCTGTTTAGGTAGAGTTTTGCATATATGGTACGGGTCAAAAAAGTTAATTCTATTTTCAGTGTTTTGGAACAGAAGTAAAATTAACTCGGAAATCAAATTTCCGAAGTTAATTCTATTCTATTTAATTCTATTTTGTATTTTGGAAGTCATCCATTAAAGAACAATTTATTAAGCTTTCAGGTAATTAAAATCGCTATACAACAGGGGGACGGAGTGGGGGCGTCCTAAAAAAGTCTTCGCTTACCCTATATTAATTGTCATTAGCCATGCGGGCAATAGCTTGATAAATCAGCGCATAGATCTGCATACATGTGAAGATCACATCTGACAGCTGGTCTGACAAAATCATCAGATGCCGCCATGAGACACTATTACGAGTCTGCACCATGGGACCACGTTACAAGACTAATCCGTAGTATAGATTTATCACCCTTATCCGATGTTTCCGCCACAGTACTTCGCCTTAATATTTTACGTTTATATCATAGCTTAAGACCTTTCTCTGCAAGAAGTTAGTCATTGAGACTATCCTCCTTTTCTTGCAAATGCTTTGAATTAATTGGACTAGAACAGATCTTTATGAAAATATGTATATACCACCTGCCGGATTATACCCGGACAATCGATACTCGTGAGATGGTAAATATTTATGTGTAGATATGGATTAATAAAATGGCACTTTTTTAAGTTCATAAAGTTAATCACTACCTGTCCGTTATGTGAAGTCTGGTAGGTGGTAAATAGGCAGAACCCTCCTACCCCTATTTTTAAAAAGTTTGGCAGTGCTCTGTCTAGCAACGTTTGTTCCTTCATACTTTCTGTAGACAAGGCATCAAAAGGTAAATGGACGTTAGCGTCCTCCTAGCAAAAAGGTAAACGGACGCTAGCGTACACCTAGCATAAAGGTAAATGGACGTTAGTGTCCACTTAGTAAAACGATGAATGGATGCTAGCGTCTAGAATAAAGGTAAATGGACGCTAACGTCCACTTAGTAAAAAGATGAATGAATGATAGCGTCCACCTAGCATATATGCTTATCCAAGTGTTTTTGCTTAACCTTATCCGATCGATCTACTGCTTGTACTTGTGCAAGCTTTCAATGATTTAATTTTAATTGGATTGGATATCCATTTTTACAGTTTGATCGTTTATTCTCTCTTTCTTTAACAATCTCAATCGTAGTTTTACAAGCATTTCTATGCTTACAGCGAAAAACGAAGTATATTAGTTCACCTTTATCGACATCTAAAACAAAGCTGTTTTTGAAAGCACATTTTTTAAGTACAGTTTAATCTATGTTAACTGTCGAAAGGCCTCATTTATAGAATTTTAAAAGAGATGGTTTTCAATTTAATTTAAAATAAATTGAAGCGAAGCATGATAAAGTATTACTGTGTTCCTATTATCTATTTACGTTTACCGTGAGTCGGAAAATAGTAATTTATTGATCCAGTTCTACGCCTTGAAAAAAAAAAAAAGGAGGGGGGACAGGTGGTAATTAACTTTATGAGCCTAAAAAATGCCGTCCATATCTACACATAAATGGGCTATCAACAACCTACCAGGCATCGATTGTCTGGGTAATCTGGCAGGTGGTATATGGGAGAAATAACTATATATAATATAGCCCAAATGGTATATACAGGTTCTCATTACTGTTTAGTTATGCTTAATTCGTCCCTTATTGTTTTATTCAACAAAAATATCAAGGGGTTTCTTAAACAATTGAAAGGCACCCATAAAAAGATATCAGCAGTGGACAACGATAATTTTGTGACAAGCGGAACTTTAGGAAACAGCACTTAATGGAAGGTTCTACATATTAAATACAGGAAAGCAAGGATAGATAAAGTCTGCCTAAACAAGTTTTAAGATTCACTCAACTTAGCTTACCGCGATCAACAAATAAATGGACAAAACGTAAATAAACAATATTACTCATATTCAACCATGTATTGTTTTGTTCATATAAGCCTCTTTGCTATATACACAATACATGACATTACTTCATTCGATAAAGCTGTGTCGTGGAACAACCCCACCAGATTGTGATTGTACAGGATTTTATCCCTATTGAATCATTCCTGACTACTTTAATCTCTGTGTGTTATTATGACATCCTCAACGACAACTACTCCTACTATGAATACATGTTTCTATATAAAAAATTGCCTGGTTGACTTGAAACGACATAGGAGTGACACTGAGCGGGAAGAGAATTTTTCGGAACAAATGAAGAATTACAAGAAAGGGATACTTGACATCAATATGTCTTTCATTGCATCAGCTACCCATTAAAAAATAGAATAGCTGTTATAATAAATGTTTGTAGTTTTTTCTAGTAGAACTCCATAATCTAAATTATCTCGAAATAAAGATATGAAGTTTTGACAGTATTTCTTTCGTTCTCCATAATTTATTTTTATTTCTTCATATATAATGTACCTATGCCTATACCTATACCTATATATATATGTATATACGTTCATTGAAATACAAGCAGACAAAAATCTTGATGTAAAATCATGTGTGGGGTTTATATTTTATTTACCAAGGGATTGTATACGTTCAACAAAATTAAGCTTGTGTGGAGCAGGTAAAGAAGTCAAACCTGAAAGTACAGCATTTTCAATATTTGGGACATATTCTTTTCCGTCCATATCTCTGACAGGCTCAATGATACACCTTAGAATGACATGAATAAACGTCGTGAAAAGTTCGACTTCAGCCATATATATACCTGGACACATTCGTCTACAAGAAGAATATATGTTTATAAAAACGTTTATATCGAGGATACTGGATCATCAAATACGATGACAACCCTTTTAAAATTACCTTCCCCATCCAAAGTTGAAATGATCACGTCCCTCGGATTTACCCTTGGCAGCAGCATCCATTGTTTTCAGATTATTCAAAAATCTCTCGGGATAAAAACGCAAGGGTTCAGCATAGACTTCAGGATTTTGATGCATACTCTCCATACTGGTGACGAGTGTAGCACCCTTAGGGATTAAATAGCCATCCACGACAACTTTTGTATCAATGTATTCGCAATTTAGTTTATAGATAATACCCAATGCATTGTTTACTTACAGTCATTTCTTGCGCTATGAGGTATAGCAAAAGGTGTAGTAGGCCTAAATCGCATGCATTCTTTAAGCATGGACACACAATAAGGTAATTCGTCTCTGTCAGCGAATTTGGGATGACGCTTGTACCGGATAACAAAGGCATCAATCTCATCAGCAGCTTTCTTTTGAGCAAGAGGGTAGTTACACATGATGGCAAAAATCCAGCCCAATGTTACGGAAACCGTATCTGATCCACCGTTAATTAAATCCGCTACAATAATATGTGAGTGCATTGTATTTACTGTCTTTTTATTTTTTTGCTTTTCTTACACATGAGAACTAGTTGATTCTCTTCATCAAAATCAAACTCTTGAAGTGCCTTAACAAAATTTGTTCCGTCGCTCTCAAGCGCCTCTTTTATCAATCTATTGTAAATTGGGTCACGTTCTTTTTCAATAAAATTCTTCATTGTAGCACGAGCTCCAGTACAGTAATCCACGACGGTAAATATGGGTAAAAAGTTGGGCAAATCGTGCGTCATGCCAGCTAAACTTGCGGTCTTTTTAATCATGGCCGAAATAGAGATAAAATCGGGATCTTCCACCGATGAAAACACCTTACCGAACCCCACCTTGAAAATAAGGTTCATTGAGTTTAAATGCAAGTGCTTTGTCGGATCAACACCGTTTTCGAGTCTAGAGTATTTAATAAATCGTTCAGCCAGAGCGATGGCTTCTGTCTTTATAGATTCCAAATAATGAGCATCAACAACTTTGGGTGCAATAATGTTTTGGACTATAGAAATTTATGTGTATGAATAGATTAGTGCAATCCTGCGTCACGACTTTTTTTTTAAAAAAAAATTACCTGCTCCTCGAGCAACTTTCCATTGTTTTGTGGCTGGACAAAATCCAACACCTCTATTTGTTTTGTGTCTGTTAAATATTTTGTAGAGATATCAACCAGAATTACAACCTACTTTCCCTTGTAACTATAGTATTCATAAGCAAAAGTAGAGTGAGGACGATCGGACGAACCTACACCATGAGTGACAAAGACTTTATGAGCTAACAATGGATCATCAATCAAGATCCAAGTCTGTATTCCCATATTTAATTTAAAGATGTGACCCACTTCTTTATGCCATTGCGCGATTCTTCTACCAGGCGAACTCCCCAAGGAGAACATGTGGCCCACATAAGGAAATGAAAAGCCGGGTGAAGGAATTTCTTTGAGCCCTAATTTTTTTTTGCTAGACTTGTTGACTATCTTGTATGTGGTATAGAGAAGAACGGTGGCGGCAGCAATACTGAGGATGGTCGTCTTTTCGCGTTCGAAACGCTGAGGGACCGAATTAATGAAACTGTTAACTTTTTCCATAGTTGTTTATTTTTTTTTTAAAAAAAAAGAAACGAGAAGAAAGGGTAGACGCTTGTAGAATGAATGATTCATGCAATAAATAAACACAAGTTGTTTATGTTTTTCACTTTTTTTGGTATCATGGCGGGACACGGGCATGTGATAGTTGATTCGTATCTTCAAAATTATAGAGTGTGAATTGCTAGGCAACTTTTGGACCAAAGATATTGCCATTAGGGATCTTTGTATTAGCAGGTGATCTACACTAGTGGTGCGACCTAATCAGCCCATCCAAGGGAGGTCAAAACTTGGATGTAACACAGATTTAAAAACCGTCAATAAATACTTCATCTGTGAAATTAAATAAAAAAAGATTTTATTTTGAAAAACTATTCTGGTTATTACTCATCAAAGTTTCAAATTGTTTCCCAATCGCCTCCACTCTTCCGCTTCGTTTCCTTGTCACGTCCGTCGTAGTAACAGAGGGACGATGTGTGGGCGATGACAGGGATTTCGATCGAGGCTTAATAGGCGGCACATGAGGTCGTTTTATTGTTGAAGGAAACATGATGGGTTGACTTTGTCCTGTCATCTTAGGATCCCGGGATGTTGTCGCTGTCGTAGTGGAAGCGTGCTTTGAAGGTAAAGGGGATCGACTGGGTTTAGGAGGTGGCACTTTGGGTGTATTCAACATGACTTGGGTATCCGACATGGTCTTTGTATGTGATATTTTACGCGGCTCATTCGCATGGATGGACAAGTTGCGAGGTTTTTGGGGTAAAGGTGGTGGGATAATTGTCGTCACGCCGCCATGTAGATGGGATGCGTGTCCTTCAAATATCTCACCATAATGTTCCACCATGCAATGAAATAAAGCACGACCTATATTGAGTGTGGGGATAAAGATGACTGCTAAGTTAGACACAGACATACGATTTTCTTGCTGGTTATCTGCCACTTTTTTTAAATGACGTGAAAGTAATTGCAACAAGCAAAAGCTATAGATGGGTAATTTGGATGTGATGGAGCGTACTGTTTTTAAAAGGTCAGGTGAAATGGGAGGTAATTTGACATTGGTTGTTGTATCTGTGAGTGATGAGGACACATGTAAGGTATCTTGCATGGCTTCTTTATCAAGCGTGTTGGAGGATTGAATGGATTGCATGAATTGTTTTGTGTATTCGTTGGCAAGTTCAAACGGTATAATCGGCTCAGGCACTAAAATAACAACGCGCATGTTACAGAGTGAAGGAAGAAAGAATTTTAATATGTATGTATATCTTACGCTCTCGTAGATACATCTTGAGTAATGTTCCGACAGCATGTGGATCTGGCTTTGTCACATGAAAGTCTATATCTGAACCTAAATGTTGTATGCCCTTTAGTTTTACATTCAAAAGGTGCTTTTATAGAGTCGTTACCATCATTGAATACGGCTCGTAATTTATTTACAGTGATTGTGCTTCCAGGTATTCTAACGCATGTGTTGTTAGTAAATGATGGGTTCTGGCAACCTTTTGGAAGGGAAATAATCTACCTATATATACCAACTTCATGTACACCTTTTTGTTTAATAGATTGCAACGTTTAGTCAAAGCAAGATTATTAGATACAAAAAAAACAGGGCAGACATACCAACATCATTTAAATATTCTATGCATCTTTTAAATACAGCAGGTATTAAATCATCGGTATCGATTTTAGTCAATGCCACAGCGACCTCCAAGGGCATACCAAACACTGCATTTTCTGAGTCTGGCGGGTGTTGTTGACGATATGCTGGATTATAAGGAGCGTTTTCTTCTTCTTTTTATAAAAAAAAATTATGCATGAATTTTTTTTTTATATTAAAAAAAAAAGTGTGCTGCAAAGTTGATGTATTACCTGCACGGTCTTTTTTCCAACGGTCGACAGCGACTTTGCCTCTTCTTGACCATTCGATACTTGTTTCTTTTGCTTTTGTTGAGTAAAGAGCACCTCGTAACTTCCATTCGGGTAATTTCTCTTGCATGGTGGCGTTAATTTCAGATGTCTTTTGTTCCACTTTGAAACGAGTGTCTCTGACAAATCGAGCAAATAATTGTTGTGAACTACTGGACCCATGGTTGTTCATCGAGCGACATTCATTTTCCTCTTCATTGTCGTCGGAAAACGCTAACGACATACTACTGGCATCGGAATCACTGTCTGATAATGTCTGAGGTTTCATTATTCAAAGTTTTTATGAGAAGAAAGACAAAAAAAAAAAAAAATGATGTGATTTTTTCGCAGACTACTGCTAATCAGAATGAAAATAAATAATAATAAAAAAAAGTAAAGGAATCAACCTGTTTAAAAGGGGCCATCGTGACTTTTTGAAGGTTTTTAAGCTCCCGCTTTTTACCGCTCTCTGTTGTGTTTGGGGGTTGAATAAACAGTCCTCAAAATGATGATTTATTATTGATTTGGGTCTTTAGATTTACATAAAAGTCTCAAAGCAGACTCCATATGTAGAAGTTCGTCTTGCTTTCGAGTTGCCCCTGTATCATCAAACAAGCCTAATTGTCTCTTATCGGCATCCATGGGCACCACACGTGAAATATCCTGTATTTTATGAGCCAATGCCACTTTAGATTGTTCTGCTAATGTCACAGCATGTTGGTTCATGTGAGTAGCGATAGAAAGTGTCTGTCGAAGCTGTGTTACTTCCATCGCCATATTACTCACGTTGTCCTTCAATCGTATCGCTTCGTCTCTCTCCACATCGAAACATCCATCTAAATATTCACGTTGACTCGGCTCGATTTGATCCATAAAATCATCATTAATGTCTATCACCGCCCTCGATCGTTCTTCGGCCTTTGTTAATTTATCCCTCGCTAACGCATGCTGTTCATAAATGTCATTCTCACACCGGTCCCACTGTTCTAATTCGCTTTTTATGCTAGCGAAGGTTTTAATTTCAGTCTTTTTTCTTTCTTTCTTTACGTATGTCAACCCTCTCACTCTTACTCTTTAATATCTTGACTATACTGTTTCAAATCCTTGTCATTCTTGACATTGGTGGTGTTCTTTTCTTGTGATAAGGCCTTTAAGTCGGGAAGGTTATGCAGTACGTTAATTAAGGTAGGCGATGTTCTTAATTTCTCCATGAGTTTTATTTTCACCTTGTCCGCTATACTAAGTCTGGGTTTGGGTATCTCGTCATCCAATGCCTTTTGTCCAAACCAAATCATTAACTGTCTTAATTTATCCGCTGTAGTCCAGTCGTTTGGTATATGCTGTAAATATTCGGCCACAGGTACACCCGCTGGACGAGCTATTCATTTGTAAAGTTTTAGCCAGTGTAAGTGTATCCTTTTTTTTTGTAACAAATGCAAAAAAGGGTTACCCTTGCTTAATATGACGGGACTTGATGTGCTAATGAACGAACTGGATTTGGTTGATAGTACATCGTCTATCGGTTCCCGTTGTATTGATTCATTCTACAAGTACATTTTAAAAAAAAGGGTTATTGCACAGTTATGAAAAACAAAAGAAAAGTAAAAAATATATAGAACCATTACTAACAAATTTTTGCCTTTTTCTAAATTTCAATTCAGCGTATTCATCAAAATATTCACTCATGCCTTACAGAAAAATATGCAAAATGTGTGGAGATAATGGGAAATAAAAAATGAATCAAAAAATATATGTGTGTGGACAAGTCACACAAGGGGCGGACTGCTTTTTGTAATGTGTGTGCTGCATTTTTCTGTTCCTTAAAAACCGGGTTTTTATTCCTTGTAGGCTCCTGTAGTTTTGTGTTCGGGGCTGACCAATTTCCAAGTACTAAGACAGTATCAGGACCAAATTTTCTTTTTTACCATTTTTTGATGAATTTGTTTATAAAACATCTTCGAAGAAAATTTCATTTTTGGAAAAGGTAGAAGCTGTAGTTTCTTAAATATTGTGCTGACAGTTTTTCACTGTTAAGATTACTTTGATTAGGTCGCCTGTTAATTCTACACCAAGCGCAATAATTCTTCTTTTTTCATCATCAACAAGTCTTTGTGAGATATGCTTTTGTGACAGCATCATTTGTAAATATACGGAATAAAACTGAGGATTGACAATCTTGTCATTGGAAAAGTTCTGAGGTTGAGGATAAATAACGCAAATTCTTGATATAAACAGATTGTCATAGTACAGATTACATTCATTATCAACTCGGAATGAGAACTCTGACTGTACAAAACAGGTTTCTTTGGGCTTTAATTTCTCGTTTCCATAGCAGGTAGTTAACGTGACATCTACGGATGATCTGGCTTTTATGTACTGAATGTAATTTGTAAAATTTAAAGTTTTGGAGAGTGTTGTTTCGGCTTCTTGGACCACCAAAGGTTTGTTTTGATTTCGTAAATATCTGAATTGTCTTGAGCATTTTAAACAATTATTTTTGGTGAAAAATAAAATTTGCTTTTCCTCAACTGTACTATTTTCTTTCATACAATACAATAAATCATGTCTTCCAAGGTCAATCAGAAATCTCTTATTTTCAGTACGTTTTAAATCAGCTTGATTTAGCCCTTCCATATACTGCTCTTGATCATCAACTACTGTTATAACGCTGGTTGTAAAATTTTTTCTACTTTCTGTGTTTTGTTTAATTATTGATACGCCGACACCATCTGTTTTAAGTGTTGCTTGAAGCCGTAAAGTCTTATTAACCCCTTAATTCTTGAAATCCTCTTTTTCAAAATTTCGATAGAACCCCAAATTTTAAGTTTTTTTTCCTGCTTTGGAGAGGACTTTTGTTCTTGGGAATATGAAAGTGAATTATTTTAGCATCCAGAGTCATGTAGCTTGGAATGAAGGTGGTGCGCAACGGGAAACAGACAAATAATTTTCCTCTCCTGCCTTCAACTAATTTGGCAAGTCTAAAAACGCATCAAAATGATTTTCAGGTTTAGCTGCAATATCATATTAAATGGGGTCCTTTTGGAAATTGTAATCTTTAGGGTAGCAGGAAAAAATACTGTTTAATTCTTTTCTTGACTGGCCACCTAGAATACTGACTCCAGGTGTCTCTTTATTTGCTACATCACGACTGATCTGATTACAAAATTCGTATATCTTGTTTATTATAGCTGCTTTAATTGCTTTGTCATCTAATCCATTTTCTTTCATTACTTTTCGAAGATTGTTTGCTTGTTCCTTCTTTTGTAATATAATCTTTATAATTCACGCAGTCTACTTCCAAAATGGGTTTTGACACTGTACTACTTAAACAACTTCTTGACTATAATGACAAAATCCCAACTTTTCAGGATCTGCTATCTTTTTTAAAATATAATTGGGGTGTAAAGGCTTAATTTTATTAATATACGATGTTTTTTTAATTTACATATGAAGAACTTGATAGTTCTAGGGAGATTATTAAGCACATGATTGGATCATGATTTAATAACCTGGTGATAGTAAATAATCAGCATGTCTTTAAATTTAGCCCTTCCATACTGAGTATATAAATATTAGTCAGAGGGATCAACAGTAATAAAACATTAAATGACAAGAGTGATTTTTGTGCTCAGGTAGTATTAAAATTCTATAGTTCAGGCCTATCCGATTGTATTGCTTTTTGCAGAATAAATATTTACTCGCTACAGGGTCTTACCCCGTGTACAGACTTCAACAGTAGTATGAGAACAATCCGGGTAATATGTGATTTATGATTAACTTTAATATTAGTTACTGTCCATCCTTAATGTGATGTGACAGTTAACTTTATTATTATATCTATGATATCCTCAACACTCTGCCAGATGAGTTGGTACGACAGGACTACTGACAGTCAGGTCAAACATTCTTCCCGATCCCGTTGGAATACCAGGCTGGCCGTCATAACAATTCCAATTGTAGAGTATACGCTCAAGAGTATAGAGGACGGTTTGCTGTTGGTTAGGCTTTTTAAGGTCTGACCAACAGTAACCATCAACTCCGTAATTACTCCCAAAATATATACTCAGAAAGGTACCCGTGATATGGAACGTATTGTTGTACGCCAACTCAGCCTTCTTCTTGAACATGGCATTTCTTTCCGTCTGATCAACCAAGTCGAATTCATCTTCGTTGGCAAGGCTCCTGAAGTATTTCTCCGTCTCCTCCTTCACGGCAGAAACAAGGTAAGGTTTAACGACAGGTATCGTTCTTTCACCTAGGGAGTTCCAATTACCATGGATACCATGAGCCCGATCTTGCGCATCATAGTATCGGATGGCTCTTGCAATGCACTCCCTGAACCTGCGTTCGTCGTTTTCTTGCTCTGTAATGCAAATAAATAAAATATGATGGTCAATAAAAGTATTACCGGCCTCTTTTGTTATAAAAATCTTACCATGAACAATGTTCGATCCAGTAATTGTAGCCCTTTTGGTTGACATGGCTTCACGGTTGCCATTTGAGAGAGCAACAGATACGGTCATGGTCACTACTTGGGGAATCTTGCTGATGGTTTCAGTGAGAGTGTTGATTGTTGTTTTCAAGGAATCAACCATTTCTTTCAAAGATTCGATTTGTTCTTGCATGTCACGAGCTTGATAAGAGGGATTGCTAGGGTTCATTTTTTAATAATAAAAAGTTGGAATAAAATAAAGTTGTTAACATGATGTCCGCTCAAGTTGTCATGAATTTAAATCTTTTCTAAAAATAAGGAATGTTGATTACAGGAATGATATAAATAATTATATCATTTTTTGATAGGCAATTAGATTTCGATTAAATTCTACACGATTTTCTTTTTCGTTTCCTTTTTGAGGTTGAAACTTGAATTTAGAATCAATATTATCCTAATTTCAAAAGTATCATATCATGTCCATTTTTGTAAGAAAAAAATTATATCTGACGATGCATGATCCGGTGATCTAACGTGACTCCGTTTCATCGTACTGAAGAGTTCGGCATCTTGATTTAAATCAATTGGAAATATAGAGAGCATTCAGAGAAAGCATGTAACATGACGGCCTAAACAGAATAACACCTATTATTAAACACTGTTACAGTGGAAAGCCTTGTTCTTATTTGAGAAAAGCAGTGTGAGAGCTTGCTTGGCGTCTACTTGCCGTGGCCTATTTTCATAAGATAACTGGATTAATAAATTGTTAATTGTTTTCCTGTTTTTCTTTTTTTTTAAACAAAAAAAAAAGTACTTACCAACTCGCCAATATATGGACTTCCACCTTTCATAATCTCGGACAGAGGTACGAGTACCAACTTCATTGGAACAGAGTAGCAATCGTCTTGTTGTCTCCTCTACTCTTGTTCATCAATACGATTTGCATCTTGCAACTTCATCATCACAGTCACCAATGCACAAGATCAACTTCCTTCTTGGAATCTCTTCTCCTCTTGGTCACCTTTGCAACTTGCCTTTTGAACCATTTTCAACAAACTTGCTATTACTAACACCAGTGCACTTCTTTGACATTCATACCGGAATCTGGTCTTGTAAACGCATTTTTTTGCTAGGCTGAAAAGATACAACACCATCTGAAGCGTTCAAAGAGTCCTTTAGCACCTTGTTCTTGTGTCGTTCTGCTCGCATTATTACCGGAAAAAACAGTTTTATCATACACTTGGTTAATAATTTCACGCCACCGATAAGCTATAATACACGTCTTATTTTATTTTGACACCAGTGCCATCAAGCTGTTCATACACGGTATGCGTTAGTACTTATGTAAAAAATAATAAGACGTGCATTTTTGCTAAATTCGCTTACCACAATAGATCCTATGCCGGTGATTAAACTTGGTCAACATAAAAGCATCTCGCAGCACCAACATCATCCGCTTGGTCTTGTTAATCTTCCTTTTCAATCATCGTCTAATGCTTGACGTTGTAGATTTTCAACATTGGATTTAACGAGCTCCGTCTATGGCAGTCTATCAGTCGGTACACCAGAATCCATTCAAAGAGAACCATCAAGTCAGGTTTACACCTAAAGAAGTCCAAAAAAAAAATTATCAAAGTTCATTAGTGACCAAGTCCTACAATCTATATTGTTGGTTAAAAAAAAATGAATTCTTGTAAACATTGAGATGGCCTACTTTTCCCACAGGTTAAAGGAAGTGAAGAGAGAAGATGTTATTAGGCATATTATCGTATTTAATACGGTTTACATGAGAAGATAAACAAATAAATCGTATAAATAATAAAAACATGAAATAAAAACATCCTTTAATGTTGAGAAACAGCATACGCCTGTATATTGCTACACAACTACTCCTACTTTGAGTACATATTTCTATTTAAAAAGATTGCATGCTTGCCTTAAAATTGATATACGAATGACAGTTGGATACAAAATTCTAAACCACTGAGTTACGATATTACCGATCGGGAAGAGAAGCTTCTCCGGTCAAATCAAGAATTATAAGAAAGAGAAACTTAATATTAATAGTTCTCTCCATGGATTAGCTACCCATAGAGAGAATATAACAGCTGTTACTATAAATGGTTTATTTACTCATATATTGATAAACACAACTTATACAACTGTAAGTTTAGAAGAGAAGTAGTGCATGGAATATTTGGATGCCTATTTTTTACAACAACTAAGTATACAAACATCGATAAGACGTTCTATATTTAGGATCATATATTAAACCATGTCTTAGATAAAAATAATCAACAGAATGGATCAATGATCAGACATAACTACATGTTCTACCGCAGTCAATTAAATATAAAAACCTTATGAATCTTTTAACAAGCTGCCGTTACACGATATCTTACTGGTATTCTGTATTTTCAACAGAACAATAAGAGTGTCCCAGATCGGTTGATCCAGGGCGTAATTTAAAATCAATTCAACGAGCAGAGTTCATTTAATGTAAGGCGGGAAACTGAGTATAGATTTATTACAAGACCAGAAAGGTTAACTCAACACAACTATCAGGGAAAGTTGTTCAATATAAAAAGGATCAATTATTTCATCGCAGCAGAGTTTTTTTAGCCTATTATTACCTGGAGTAGGGATATACTTTTATCTCATTACTTTTTGATTGTATCAATTTTGTCAAATACCACAGGTGCAACAACAGGACATGCTGTGATCAGCCTCAAGTAAGTTTGGTCCATTTGAATACCATTATGTCTGGTACGAATCTTAACACTGAATACCAGCAGCAACAGTTCATCAATCAGAGGTGCCTGTGATGATCTGACTTCGTGATAAAATCCATAATAATAATAACATCAGATGCAATTACATCATACATCTAACTCTAAAATATAAATATCGAAGCATCCATAATTTATAAAGCAAATACACTTCTTTAGTCTATGTACCTCCTTGACTAAAATAGTGTAAGAAGACACTGCACTAATTTTGTATAATTCCATTATGCAGTAATTTTATAATTTAAATTCAGACATCTTATACATATATATCCTCGACTCATCAACAAAGATAATCTCTAATTCTCTTTTAACTGAAATAAAGCATACCAACAATCCCAAAGTATTCTTACTTTTGTTTTATCTAATTTTTATTACCTCAAACACCACAGTGCCAAGTAATGGTTTATTTCGTGCTTCTTGGGTTCAGATGGCCCAGGAAGCAAACAACAAAGCATGACATTCTCACGCAAGTTTCTGACAGCGCGTGGCAAGTTCTGGATTGTCAAATATATAGCACCACAGCTGTATATGGTATTGTCAAATGGTTGAAACCAATCACAATTGACTGTCAGCATCAAATTGTAATCGGATTGAGATACAAAGGGCACTTCATCAGCAGGATCCACTTTGAACTCATTCCAATTACGGCCATCATAAAGGTCTGACATCGATCCAGGTACTGTCTTTCTTTCCTTCCATTGTTGAATGTCGCTGACAAAATTATCCCTTTGAAAAAACTTTCTCAATGTGCTGGTGATTGAATTGTAGTAGAATGATCTGATGGGCTGAATGACTTGTTTGTTATTTTTTTTAAAGAGAGGTGCATCGCAGCGAGTAGATCCGATGAGCGGTTCAACGGATGAACATGTCTTTCCAATCAATGCTAATTTTTCGGCCTCGGTGTTGTATGCATGAATTGCATTGCAAGAAGTACAGCTTACATCTTCCTTGATATCGGGGTGAACACGCTCAGCCATCTGACACCATTTCAAGAAGGTTTGTGCCTTGATGGGGAAACGGTAACTTTTTCCAGCATAAACCAAAGCAACGTTTAAGATACCCATTATAATTTCGATACCATGATCAGTGGTATGCTTTCCATAAAGAGTAACAACCAAATAAAAAAATAAATAAAAGCAAGAGATTCAGTTGGAATGCGGGAAGTACCTGTAGTTTTTTTAAGTTAATAATTTATTTTATGTCAAAAATATATATTTCCGTTCTGTACCTTCTTCTTCTTTTACTACTACTACTACTTCTTCTTCGATTTTTCTTCATTGTCTTCTTCTTCTTCTTCGTCTACGATTTCGTTTTCCAAAATAGTTTCACTAAGATCGCTTGTTTGAATATGAGATTCCTCCATTGCAATGGTAACTAATAAAAAAGGCGTTAGTCTTTAAATACTTGAATCAACACATATATATTTTACCGTTGACTTCTTCTTCGTCTGTTTCCATACGATCTCCACTTTCTACTTCTGTTTCCACGAGATCGTCAAAAACTAATAAAAATAGTTGCGTTAATTAGGGGTTCCTCAAAGGTGTAATTGTAAACACATACCTTCGTTCGAAATAATAATTGTACTGTAGGCATCCCTATTATAATGAGATTGCTTGGTATGTCTACTGACAGCCTCAAAACCCTTAGGGTCTGTTCTACAACGAGACCAAAAGCAATGGCTATCGTTTTTATTTCTAATGGGAGTCTTGGTAAAAAAGTTAAAAAGAAAAAGAAAAATAAAAGTTGCCTTCTAATTTTACTGAGCGGGAATTGGATTTATTTTGACACTATTTTTTTTTTTTTTTTTTTTTTTTTTTTCCGAGCAATGAACTCCAAACTTTTTTATAAACTGTGTAAATATTTTATTAACGTACCCCAACACTTATTAACCTCCATTTTTTGTTCATATGACCTCTACAATCATTTCTATTCATTTTATAAGCGCATTTTTAGTAATGCAAGGTATTTTTGGTTTTTTGTTCAATTCGTGCCAAATTTTAATAGAATGTGCAGCATAACCAGATTTTTTATTATCTTTTTTCAGAATAAACATTACATGCATTTTGGATTATATTTTAAGGGAAAAGTGCCTTAGCCAATCAAAATTCAGAAACCACGTTATATTCACGCGATATAATTGCATGCGGGTTTTTAGAGAGATTTTTAAGATCTAATTCAATTTTTAGGTACGTCCCCTTTGGTTTTTTATGCTCGGTAAATGTTCCGATATTAAATATAAATTATTAAAAGCAATGCGCATATTTTGTGGGTCATAAAAAACATAAATTTTTCTGAGAAAGAGCATATTGTCCTTGTTGCTTTTGGATACACCATATACAATGAAGTTTATTTGAATTCAAAAAATGTGAAGTGCATAAAGATGGAGAGATGGACTCAGAGATGGCCACAGAGGTAGACACAGAGATAGACACAGAAACACCAAGGCTATATTTTTCGCCTGATACGTCCATTTGGACGGATTTATAGTAAGTGTTTGCCCATTTACTAAAAAAAAAAACGGATTGGGTAAATTTACATATTTACTTGTTTGGAGGGATTATAGTAAGCGTTTACACATTTACCCCCCCCCCGGATTAAATGCATAATTAAGGTGGTGTATATTTTGAAATTGGCTTTCCCTTTCAGCCTTCAGCCAAATAAAAAACTTCCGTTTATACATATCGAATCGTTAAATACGTTCATTTATTTGAAAAAATTGGTTTGCAGTTTTAAAAGTTGATTATTTATTTTGTGAAAAAGAACGAAAGTAAGATTTATACATGGCTCTTTCCGCTAAAAATCAGAATCTACGTTCCAATCCCGCTTTCAAAGGTGGTATGACAGGTAAATCAATGACAGCGTCAAGATCGGGAAAGGATACCAAGAAACTGCCCATAAACCAATATTGACACCATATATTATCTGGAGCCTGCTGATAATTACACAATTTAAGCTGGACAGTCGAAAAGTAATAATCCTTAATAGTTTCTCATATAAGTGCTTCAAGTGGCAGATATACCAACAGATCGTTCGGTGTTAAACAGGATCAAATCATGCATAAAGATAATAAAAACTATCACCAAGTAATATCCCTTCTTTTTGTCGCTGTCTGTTAGCTTTTGTATTTATCTTTTCACAGCATTTTGTAAAAGCTCATGAAAAAAACGATTTAGCTTCTTACATCTAAAAGCACTATATTATTTACTCGTTCATGGTATACTACTGGATTTGTATCTCCTTTAAAATCACTCTCAGAACACTTTTTTTTTCTTCTTTCTTTTATGAACAATAGTTAGCTTATGCTGATTAATTGAAGTCTGGTACTCACTATCACATTTGTAAATTAATAACAACTGTCGCTTTTCTACATCTAAATCCGTACTAGCGCCATATCCCTACCATAAAGAAAATTTAACGCAGGGAAAAACTGCATCTTTTCCAAGCCTATGGTTACAAGCTATAACAACGAAGAAATATCCAAGCGGTGACATGAGTGTATCTTCAGTAGACATTGCTGAAAAATCTGGCTACATACAAAAGAGATCAATCGCTTTTTAAAAGGCATTGGCCATGGTTGACGGGTAGTTAGGCCAATGCTTCCTAAATCAGGTAGTGCGATATGTACACATTTGGATCATACGAGACTTTGATGATCTCTTGCTTTATCATTAGGAGTTGATTTACATCACCGTCACCATGGTTTTAATGGATGCGGTTGATACGCTGAAGTTGACCTTCCCGGACGTAATTTTCTCTTTCATCATTCAAGCCAAATTATCCATCCCTTTTATTTTATATCGTCCCTGTTAATGCATTCATCCATCCATGCATGAAAAAAAAATAAAAAAATAAAAAAAATAAAAAAAATAAAAATTGAGCTGAGCTGGATGGATCGATGGATCGAACGCTCTACCATCTTTAAATGCTACCAACAAAATCATTTTTTTAAATATACATATTAAAAAAGCTCACTGCTTTTGGCACCGTCGCTACCGGAAAATATCATCACTGGATCCTTATAAATAATGTTACATCGCGCCCTTTTTTTCTCTCCCTTTGGCAGCTTGTACCACAGTAGTAGTAGATAATCCCCCATTTACTCTTTATAATCACCTGGGACTTTATATTAAAAACAAATTCTCTACTATTGAACAATGTGATGTTAACCCGAAATTGACAGCCTTTGATAGTAATGTGTTCATAGGAGATTATTTGCTCTTTTTTTTTTTTTTCTTGCAAGTTGGACCACAGCAGTAGTGGATAATCTCCCGTTTACTCTTTATAATCACCTGGGACTTTGTATTAAAAACAATTCTCTACTATTGAGCAATGTGAAATTGACAGCTTGTTGCGTATGGTCCCTAATCGATCTCTTTTTCTCTTTCAAAAATCTCAAGTTTAGTTAAAACCATCTTTTCATCATTTGTAGAACTCACAATCCCAATCAGTTATAGAAATCACACTCTCAAACATTTATAAAAGTTACACTCCCATTCCTTTATTATTTGCTTTAGTTTTTTTCTTCATCAAAATATCCACCCTATTCTTGGGATAATTAACTTTAGGCATAACTCTTCTCTGCTATTTTCAAGTTGTAAGCAATTTGACACTTCTATTTCCAACAAAAAGACATAGATTTCATCCGTTAACAACAAATACGTTCACAATTCTCTTTTCTCTGATGGATTCCTTACCTACCTATAGTCTTAGTCTGTCTGACTTGTCATTAGCTATGTTACTGCAGTCGGGCCTAGCTTCAATTGTTATTCCAGCTTCCAACACTCCTGTTATTCTGGCCTCTGAGTCAATTATTTCTGTGGTTTTCCCTCACCACAACCTCCGTATGTCTAAGATCTTGGTACGCGATTTGCTTCATCGTGGGTCCCAATACACATATTCTTCAACAACAATCTGATCGTGAAACTATATTCCCCTAAGCTACTTCGTAAATTTGGGGTCGCAATAACCAATGCGTATATGCAACCTACTGGTAACTTTCGTCGTGTCCTGGGTGCCAGTATATAGTCTACTGGGTCTATCAATTTCCGTCCTCTTCTTGAGTCCTAAATGTCCACATGTATTCAAGCATTCGATCAACCAACACAATTGCGAGCTATATTGCGTGATTCCTTGTTCCCTCCAAAGCCTGCGACCACCTTTTACGGACGTGCTAATTCGACCTGGTAGAATACTGGCTATACTCATTTCGCTTGATTCGAATGACTTACAAAAACAAAAAAATCTACTGTCGCCACTTCTTTATCATTCGTTTTCATTGTTGCTTGTATTTTACTTGGAATCTGGAGATCTCGATTGAGACAAGTTTTTGACGATCAACCTTTCACATTCACAACGGTGCTTCCATTCTGCAATCTAATCGTATGACAACTATACTTTCAAACGCTGGCCGTTTAAAAACAGTGTGCTTTCTTTCATAAAAATACTTCTTTCGACTTGTTGTCGCAATTGGACTGGCTCCTTCACATTGCTCTTGGGTCACTCGTAAAACAAAAACAAAAACAAAAAAAACAAGACACAAAAAAGCAAATAATCACCCCTCAGTAACAATAAATAAATTTTGAAAGACAGCGCTGTCTTTTGGGACAGCCAAAGTGCACGTAGTGGCAATATAAGATCTGTAATTTCGATGTTCTCTAGACCTGGAAACAAGGATATACAATGTAAAAATTACGCATAAATGTTTATTAAACGATTTATACTTATTTTGACATCTGTCATCACTCATTCGCCTTTGAGCTCGTTTGATCTTAAGCTTATGCCGAAATACTAAACCAGAAGCTGAAGGTAAGCTGTAAAACACATATACTGGTTTAAACTATGTTGTTTGTACTAAATGTGTATATATTTTAAGCTGTTAATTTATATTGACCTCTTGATGTCTGTTAAGGATATCATGGATATAATAACAAAGTTAATTGTCACATCACAATAAGGATGGATATTAAAAAAAAAAAAAAAAAAAAATTAATCATGAATCACACATTGACCCGCTTGTTCTCATCCTACTGTTGAAGTCTGTACACAGGGAACAACCCTGAGGCGAGTAAATATTTCTTTTACAAAAAGCAATACTCGCAGTTGCACTTGGGCAGTTTTCTTTACTGAAACTGGCTAGTGA